ATGCCAGGCGAGCGCACTACCGCTTGAGCCACATCCCCAGCCTGCATACGATTCTCAATTTTAGCAGCTTGCTTGCTTTTTCTTTGCAGTGCTAGGATGGAATCCAGGGCCTTGCAGATGGTAGCTAGGCAAGCAAGTGCTCTGCCACTAAGCCACATCCCTAACTTTTTAAATGTTTCATGTTGTTCCTAAATTGTCCCCCTTTTATTTTTATTTGTTAGTAGAGCCTTAAAAATGTACTTCGTCCCTTTCTTGTTGATCCAGTAGAATCATGGAGGGTGCATCTGTCCTGTTGACATTAATGCAGTCATCCTTTCAGGGATGGTGCTCACCATCTTGGAGCATAGTCACAGTTGCATTTCCTTAGCTGGAACCCAGGGCCTCATGCATGCTTGGCAAGCACTCCACTGCTAAGCTACCCCAGCCCTGGTTCTGCCATTTTGTGAAGCTTACAAAAATAGAGGGAATTCTACCCCACTCTCACAATCAGATGGTCCATATCATTCCAATTCAGAGAATTAACTGTTAATTAAAAAACAAAACAAAACTTTGAAAGCAAGGTGTTCTCTAATTAACCAGTTCCCATCATCTATCCTCCCCTATGCTGAGTTAATTTACATATGTCTTTTCTGGCATGTGAAACTTCTTAATAATAACTACGACTACTACTACTACTATTATTTGCTATTCTTCTTTCCCTATGCCATCTATTTCTTAGCAAAAGTTCCTCTGTCTTCCTCAGCACATGTGTTAAGCTGTCACATCCAGTTTAGAAGTTCTCCATCATTTCTGAGCAGTGGCCCATCATGTCCAGTTTAGAGAAAGAGATACTTGCCTTCTGGGAATAAGCCTGCTTGGACACCTTCCTTGGTTTGGTCCCTCTCCTTCCTCGCTAGTTGCATCTTTCCACTGTCCTGTGCTTTCTCTTAGTCTTGACCTCATCAGCAGGCCCCCTCGGTTGTTGGGTTTCTTTTATGTACATTCACGCCTGGGTGATTTTGTCTGATCCAATGGCTTAGAACACCATCAACAAACACTCACTCTCTAGATATCTCTCTTTAACCTTGACCTGTACTCCAGGACCTTGTGTCCAGCTACCTGTGCTACTGGTGTCTCTAATGGGCATCTCAAAAAACGAGAGCCAAACTCCTGCACCCAAACCCTTGACAAAACCCAGTCTTCCTGTAGTCTTTGTCATCACCTGAGTATTAATCCAGTCTTCCATTTGGAGGCACATTTGAGTCCTGTTTGTCTCACCTCCAAATTTAGTCTGTCATTAAGTGTCAACTGTCAGTAAATTTTTGAAAAAAGACTCCCACCTCTTCTTTCCACCTCCGCTGCTGCAGGCCACTAGTTCTCTGCTTGGTTTCAGTGATCTCTCTGCTGCTCTCCCTGCTTTCTCTTGTTCCTAGAGATTCTTAAAACTATTTTTTTAAAGTATTCATTTGTGGCCCGTCACATAGCAAGCTGCCAGCATGGTCCTTTAAAAGACTGACTTGGATCCTCTGCTTTCCATGCCACTGGGAGTAAATGCCTCCGTTTCAGTGACTTCAGAAACCCTATGTTTCATGTTCGTTCTTCTAGAAGCCTCTGTGTGCTCTGTGCCTATGCCCCCTCTAATCTGCTCCAGCCACCCAGCCTTTGTGCTGTTCCTCAGACTGGCATTTCGGCCTCCAGGCTTCACGCTTCCCCGCCCCCCCCTTGCTGCACATTTTCCCAGGTGTCTGTCAGCTCCCCTCAGCTCTCCACCATCACCCCTGCCACCACAAACTGCTCTGTTTTCCCCAAGGTGCTGACATTTACTTGTTAACTAAATTTATTGATGTTATTTATTAAGTTACTTATTTGTTATTTCCTAGTACTTTGTTCACTAACCTACATAAGCACAGATGAGGGCAGAAACCTTGTTTTGTTCTTTGTTGAGTCTTCAGTGCCCCCAGCAGTATCTGGATATAGAAGTCTTAATAATTTTCCTGACATTTTTACATTGGGAAATTAGAATTGAGAAAGATTATAGTTCTGCACTTAAGGAGTGGCCATTACTTCTTTCTTAAATTTCTTTCTTCTGCCAGTTTTGGGATAAAATTGAAGTGATTTTTAGTTCTAAATATAGTCAGTGGTTAATCAGTTCAGATATTGTCAACCAAATCAAACCAGGGGGTATTTCCATGTGAGCCCTCTTTGTTCCATGGCGGAGAAACTACATTGGTATATGTTGGGAGAGGCCTCCAGGCTTTCTGTCTTTAACAGAAAGACAGTGTGTTTAACTCCTGGTTGCCCTTAGTGTCTATAACTTTCAACCGGGGCTTGCTTTTGCGGTCCTAGAGGAAAGATCATGTCATAAGAACAGAGTCTAATATTGTTTGTTGCCAGAACAAACAATATTCTGATAATTAGTAGAGCTAAAAGTTTATGGATAGCCCCCGAGATGACTGATAGCTTTATTAGAACTGCTTTACTGATCACTGTTTTGTGGCTATGTGGAAAGGACAGGCATCTCTGCTAGGCCATATGTAGGTACGTGCAGTGTGCCTCAACTGTGATTGACAGAAGAGCCTATCACATTATGGGACCTTCAGTTCAAACAGTAATTGACCACAATGTAATTGAGACCCAAATCCCAGTTGTTAACAATTTGGATCATTTACCCACATTTAGTCAGAGTGATATTATAAAATGGCATGGGTCTCAGTCTGTTCTATAAACTGGCTGAAATGTGTATTGCTGAAATTATATAATTTCCTCAATAAAATTTATTCCATAATTTGTATTTAAATCTGCCATCTGCTCTTTGCCCTGATAGATGATAAAATAGTGTAAACATAATTCTCAACACTGCTGTACCTGTAGGTCATCCCCAGGTGGGCCTCATTCCCAGATTCTGCTTTGTACCTGCTGAGTGGGAATCTTGGTTGAAACATAAGGATTCTCCATAGAGAGATGGCTTGCTATCTTTTGTGTCTCTTTAATTCTATCTGGAGTTTCCCTCTTCTGCTCCATGCAGATAGCCTTTAGGTCTTATAATTGAGGAAAATTAGAGTCTTAAACACACATTCTTCAGTCATACAAATCATGTGTTATATGAGGTGTTCTGGGGATAGAGTCCCTAAATGACAAAAAGTACTTTAGCTTCTCCTCCTCGCCCTTTTTTCCTGGAGATGTATAACTAGGGACTGAGCCAGAATCAGAGTGGCAGAGGGTAGGGAGGTTGCTGGTGGTGGCTGTGAGTCCTACCGTGCAGGATCTTCTTTTGCTGTCCCTAGCACCATAGGCATCTTGAAATAGAAGGAGATTTGAAGAGGTCAGGCAGTAACTTTAATTACAGTTTAAAAAAAAACAAAAAACAGATAATACAGTTTTTTTGTGTGACCTGGTTTAGAGCACAGCCTCATTTATTCTTTCATCAGTTGAGTGCCTCTGATCTACTCTACATTATGCTAGATACTGGGGTCAGAGATAAGAAAAAATGGATTGTTGACCTCAGGAACTCTCAAGTCAATTAAGGAAGCAGATGGTTAGTTACAGTGACCTAAAGCCTTTCACTTGTTTTGTATTAGGGATATGCAAATGCATTTGGCAGTGAAGGTCAAGGCAGACTTTGTAGAGGTCCTAAACACTGAATTGGGGCAGAACTAAATTAGCCAGACACAAGGACATGGGTGATAGTAGCCTAGGCAGAGAGAGGAGAAAGGTGAGAGAGGGCCATGGTGCATTACTTTATTTTTCAACCTTACTGTGTGTAGATGCTTCAGAAGTACACTGCTATCCAGGGCAGTGTGATACAAAACTGTAATCCCAGCTGGGAGTGCTTGAAAGTCATTTGTTAAGGGGCTGGGAGTGTAGCTTAGTGGTAGAGTGTGTGCTTATTAGCACGTGGAAGGCTCTGGGTTTAATCCCAGCACTTAAAAAAAAAAAAAAAAGTCCATTTTTTATACTTAAAAAAAAAAAAGTCCATTATTTATACTTTCTATATGTTTTGTAAATCAAACTTCCTATATGACCTTGTTGGTACAGTCAAGCAATGCTTGGGTAAAAGCACTTAGGTTCTACGTTTCCACTGCAGGCAGATTGGAATGGGCCCTGGTTTCATCTGTAAGTTGGCATCGTGCTAGTGATCACAAAGTCCTTTTAGCTACAGAGTTGTATATTCTTGTGCTTTCTTATCTTTGGGCCTTTTAAATGTGATTTAGACTAAAGCATAATTCCATAATGAAGTGATAGAATGGGCATCATTTTTTTATTCCATGTGATAGAATGATAGAATAGTGATAGAATGGGCATCATTTTTTATACCATTAGCAACAATGGTAGTCCATTTACCATGGTGGACAGAAGTTCACCTAGGTGCCTTTTCCTAAACTTTCCTTCAGACAAGGACATGATTTCTTTATAGTTTACCCAGCTCATAGAGTATCACCAAAACCTGTAATTTGAGTGCATTGTAGAGCTATTCCTACATGTCAGCAAAATAAAGAACAAAGATGCTTCTTATTGTTTAACTGAAAGGTGAATACTTATTGAGCACCTAGTGTTTGCCAGTCACTCTTTTTTTTTTTTTTTTTTAAGAGAGAGAGAGAGAATTTTTAATATTTATTTTTTAGTTTTCGGTGGACACAACATCGTTATTTTATTTTTATGTGGTGCTGAGGATCGAACCCAGCACGAACCCAGCACCCCCACGCATGCCAGGCGAGCATGTTACCACTTGAGCCACATCCCCAGCCCTGCCAGTCACTCTTTTAAGCACAAGAAATGAACAAGTCAGAAAGATCCCTCCTGTCTTATGTAGTTTATATTATGACTAGAGTCTGGGGGCAATATAGTACTGAACGTGACATGGTGTGGTTCGGGAAGCTAAAGACTATTTTGTCTTTCAGAATGCAGACATTATTACTAAATTAATTTCAATCTTATGTGTCTTTCTTGGGGTGGGTTTAGCATACTTTTTCATGTATTTATCTCCCCATATTGTTTTGTTTTTCATGTTTTGTTTCTGTTAGGAGAGAACACTGAAATTATTCTCTAAGCTATTTGAAGAGAGTGACTAAATGCACCTGGGCCAGGCTGTCTGTGGGTATGAAGTGGTTGGGAGAATCCAAGAACATGGTGATGAATGGCAGGAGAAATGGAGGCAAGTTGTCTAATGACCATCAGCAGCATCAGTCAAAATTACAGCACACGGGCAAGGACACCTTGAAGACTGGCAAAAACGCAGTTGAGCGGAGATCAAGCAGATGTATGTACACAAACATTATTACTGTTTTGATCATGATTCTTTCCAGTTTGTAATGTGTACTGTTTTCTTTTGTTATAAAAACAACTTTGCAGGGCTAGAGTATGGATTGCCCAGTATGCACAAGGCCCTGGGTTACCAGGATACGTTTTTGTTTTTGTCAGTGGGTCTTTATTTTACTTACTTATAAGTGGTGCTAAGAATTGAACCCAATGCCTCACACATGCTAGGCAAGCACTCTACCACTGAGCCACAACCCAGCCCATCATTATAGTTTTTTTTATTCTTAAGGGTTTTAGCAGTTTTTATTCTTATTGAACAATATGTAAAATGTAAGTTTAATGCTCTATGTAATCTTTTGTTTTTTTGTTTTGGTGGTGCTGGGGATTGAACCCAGGGCCTTGTGCATGCAAGACAAACACTCTACCAACTGAGCTACATCCCCAGCCCTCTCTATGTAATCTTAATCATGTTTTTCTATCCATACTTTTGATCTGTTCTTTTCTTTTCGGTACCAGGGATTGAACCCAGGGACAACTGACCATTGAGCCACATCATTCATTCCCAGCCCTTTTTTTTTTTTTTTTTTTTTTTTTTGGTGGTGGTAATGCTGGGGATTGAACTCAGGGCCTTATGCATGCAAGGCAAGCACTCTACCAACTAAGCTATATCCCCAGCCCATTCCCAGCCCTTTTAATTTTTTAATTTTGAAACAGGGTCTCTCTAAGTTGCAGAGGCTGGCTTTGAGTTTGCAATCCTCCCACCTCAGCCTCCTAAGTTGCTTGGATTACATGTGTGCACCAGATGCCCAGCAATTGATTTGTTCTATAAAAATTTTTGAAATACTTAATTTCTTTTCTTTTCTTTTTAAAGAAAGAGAGAGAGAGAGAATTTCAATATTTATTTTTCAGTTTTCAGCAGACACAACATCTTTGTTTGTATGTGGTGCTGAGGATCGAACCCGGGCCGCACGCATGCCAGGCGAGCGCGCTACCGCTTGAGCCACATCCCCAGCCCACTAAATTTCTTGTAACTTTTAAGATATATATTTTTTACGTTCAGTACAAATGTAAAGATGTACTTTTTGCATAACTTTCATAAATGTTTCAAAAGAATCAAACGAAAACTAAAGTTAAATCTAATTTACATGATGCATAGAATGGAGAACAAATAGAACTACCTTCTTAGTAGCTCACAGGTCACAGCTCCTTGGTTTATAAGGGGTGAACTGTGAGTGATGGTGGCGTATGTTTTAATGTTTATTTTTTAGCTTTTAGGTGGACACAATATCTTACCCAGTGCCTCGTACATGCTGGGCGAGCACTCTACCACTGAGCCACAACCCCAGCCCCAAGAACAACTTTTTAGTTTTTTTTTTTTTTAATATTTATTTTTTAGGTGTAGATGGACACGACACAATGCCTTTATTTTTATGTGGTGCTGAGGATTGAACCCGGGTCCTGCCCGTGCTAGGCGAGTGCTCTACTGCTGAGCCACAATCGCAGACCCTAGTTTTGCTTTTCTTAACATCAATCTAGCCACTATTGAATATTCTCAATTCGAGTTGTTCTTGGCCAATTCTCTGTAGTTTGGATTAGCTTAGGGTTTTCTGTAGCGTCAGATCAAGTCAGTGTTTCCTAGAAAACCAGGTATGATTCCTGCTTGGGTAAGTGCCGCAGTCCGGCTGGCTGCAGCAAAATAACCGGGGGGTGACGAATAACTTGCGTATGTTGATACAGCAGGAGTAGGAGCCGTTTATTGCAGGACAGGAGCAGTATTTATACATTCCACACAGCTTATCTAATTAGCATAAACTAGATACATCAGTCAACCAATAAGGAATCTCCACACTTAATGGCTCGCTTTTGTTACTTCTCAAACCATTCCCTCTGGCATTTTGCCAGGCACCATCCAGACTTGTTTACAAACTCTAACATTCCCCTGGCAAAATGCCAGGTGTTATTTTGACTTGTTTACAGACTCTAACAGGTAAGAGTAGGAGAAAGTCCAAGGCTTTATGGGCTATCTTCTGGATGGACACCAGCTCACCACTGAGGCTGCTGTCAGCATAAACCTTGATCCTGTCTCACCCCTTAGCATTTAATGGGAACCTCAAAGCTTGAGAAATGTAGTGAGTTACCTTATCATTGGGATTGGTTGTGGTCAGTAAAACAGGCATTTCTGAAGTGATTTCACAAATTACTATTGGCTGCTTTTTGTGGATCATAGTGCAAAAATGTTTTTAATTGTCATAGATAAACAAGAATTTAGGAAATGATCATTATGGCTTGTACTTTGCCAAGAGTAGATGGAGGTGGGAAAACTCAAAAGTGTGGAGATGGCAGTGTCACATTGAATGTTATTGGGCAAGAATGGTACAAAAAGAGAGAAAGAAACAGGAGAACACAAAGTAGTGCCGCATCTTGGATAAAATGTAGCAACTTCACCTAACATCACACCCCAAAAAGGCCTGCAACAAAAGCTGTCAAAATCGAGGGGGTAGAAATGGTCAACTCAATAATAATTTGGGTATTCGAATACTCCACTTTCAGTAATTGATGGAACAAGTAGGCAGAAGATCAGCAAGGAAAGAGTGGACTTAAACATAACACTGTAAAACAACTAGACCTATCTGACATCTAAGGAACATTTCACTCAAGAATGGGAGAATATGCATTATTCTTCAGTATGCATGAAATATTTTCCATGAAGTATTCTCCAGGACCCACCATGTGCTAGGCCATGTATGAGTTTTAGGAACTTGAAAGGATTGAAATCATAAAAGGTATGTTCTCTGACCAATGTGTAGTAAAATTCGAAATTCATATACAAAAGAAATTTGGGAGGGCCGGGGTTGTGGCTCAGTGGTACGGCACTTGCCTAGCATATGTGAGGCACTGGGTTCAATCCCCGGAACCACATAAAAATAAAAAATAAAGGTATTAAGTCCATCTACAACTAGAAAAAAAGAAACTTGGGAGACTTTACTATACCTGAAAATTAAACACCACACTCCTAAATAACCAGTAAATCAAGGAAGAAATCAAAAAGGAAACACTACGAGATGAATGAAAATGAAGATACACGTACCAAAACTTCTGGAATGCAGATAAAGCAGCAGCTTAAAAGGAAATTTATGGTCATTGTAAATGCCCATATTGCGAAAGAAGATCTCAAATCAGTTACCTAGCCTTCTACCTTAGAACACCAGAAAAAGAAGAATGAACTAAATCTGAAGCAAATAGCAGGAAAAAAATAATGAAGCTTAAAGTAGAAATTAACAAAACAGAGAACAGAAAAAAAAAGAGAAAACCAGCAAAACCAAAAGTTGATTTTTGAAAAGATCAACAAGACTAGCAAACCTTAAGCAAAACCAAGAGAAAAAGAAAAAACTCAAAAGTACTAAGATCTAGAATGAAATAGGAAACATTACCATTACTGCTCTACAGAAATAGAGCAGTAATGGTAATACCATGAGCAAGCACTTGTGTACCAACAAATCAGGTAAGTTTAATAAAATGGACAGATTCCTAGAAGCAGACAGCTTAAAGTGATTCAAGAAAAAATAAAACTTGTGGGAAAAAAAAAAAACTATACTGAGTAAAGAGAGAGGAAGTTGAGTTAAAAAAGAAGAAAAAGAAAAACCCCCCCTCACAAAATTTCAGGCTCAGATGGCTTCCTTGTGAATTCTCTAAGATGTCTAAAGAATTAGTACCAATTTTTTATAAACTCTTCCAAAAAATAGAAGGCAAAGAAATAGTTGATAACTTGTTTTATTACCCTGCCACCAAAATCAGACAGCATCAGAAAACTATAGATCAATATCTCCTTTGAATATTGACAAAAGAATCCTGAATAAAATACTAGCAAATTTGGGCTGGGGCTGTGGCTCAGCGGTAGCGCACTTGCCTGGCATGTGTAAAGCTCTGAGTTGGATTCTCAGCACCACGTATGGTCTATCAACAACTTTAAAATATATGTATATATATATATATATTAGCAAACTAAAGCCAGAAGCTTATAAAAAGGAGTCTGCAGCATGGCTTTTGGGGTTTATCCCTAGAATGTAGGGTTGTTTTAAAATCTGAAAATCAATGTAATGAACCAAATCAGTAGAATGAAGGACAAAACATGACGAGGTCATTTCAATGGCTGCAGGAAAGGCATTTAGCAAAATCCAGCCTGCTTTTAGGATGGGAAGTACTTAGAAAACCAGGAATAGAAAGGAATACCTCGGGCTGGAGATGTGGCTCAAGCGGTAGTGCGCTCGCCTGGCATGCGTGCGGCCCGGGTTCGATCCTCAGCACCACATACAAACAAAGATGTTGTGTCCACTGAAAACTAAAAAATAAATATTAAAATTCTCTTTCTCTCTCTCTCTCTCAAAAAAAAAAAAAAAGAAAAAAAGAAATACCTCAAGCTGATGGAGGACAGCTGTGCGAAACCATAGCTCACAGCTAGGGTTATGTTTAATGGTGAAAGCCTAGATATTTTCCCACTAAGATCCAGGAGCAAAACAAGGGTGTCAACTCTCACCACTTCCACTTAACATTGTACTAGAGGCTCCAGCCAGAGAGTTAGTCAAGAAAATGAACTAAAAGACATCTAGATTGGACAGGAAGAAGTAAAACCATCTGTTTTGCTGATGACATGATAGCATAATATAGAAAACCTGAGGGCTGGGGATGTGGCTCAAGCGGTAGCGCGCTCACCTGGCATGCGTGCAGCCCGGGTTCGATCCTCAGCACCACATACAAACAAAGATGTTGTGTCTGCCGAAAACTAAAAAAAATAAATAAATATTAAAAAAAAATTCTCTCTCTCTCTCTCACTCTTTCTTTAAAAAATATATATATATATATATATAATATAAAACCTGGGAAACCATTAAAGAAATGTTAGAATATTATCTGACCATAACAAGGGATGAACCTTGAAACGCAACAAGGTTGTAGGATACAAGATCAATATGCAATAAATCAATCATTTTTATGTGCTTGGGATGAGCAATTTAAAAATGAAGTTAAGAAAATCTCATGATGGGGCTGGGGATATGGCTCAAGCCGTGGCGTGCTCACCTGGCATGTGTGCGGCCCGGGTTCGGTCCTCAGCACCACATACAAACAAAGATGTTGTGTCTGCCGAGAACTAAAAAATAAATATTAAAAATAAATTCTCTCTCTCTTCCTCTCCTCTCCTCTCCTCTCTTTAAAAAAAAAAAAGAAAGAAAGAATCTCATGATAATAAATTTTAGAAATATGTAAAACTTGGGCTGGGGCTGTAGTTCAGTGACAGAGTGCTTGCCTAGCACATGTGAGGTACTGGGTTTGATCCTTAGCACTGCATAAAAATAAATAAAAATAAATGCATGCTGTTCATCTACAACTAAAAAAAATTTTTTTTAAAGAAAAACATGTCAAACTTACTTCTGAAAACTACAAACTATTGCTGAAAGAAATTAAAGAAGAGCTAAATTAATGGAAAGGTTTATGATTAAAAGACTTAATGTTGTTAAAATGGTAGTACTCCTGAAATGACTTTTATAGATTCAGCAGAGTCTCTGTCAAATCCCAATTGACTTCTTTGCAGAAAATGACAAACTGATCCTAAAATACTTATGGAAATTCAAGGGACCCAGAATAGCCAAAACAATCTTGAGAAAGAACAAATTTGGAGAACTCATATTTTCCAATTTCAAAATTTAGTACAAAGGCAGTAATCAAAACAGAGATGATATGGCATTGACATGTAGATTGAATGAGAGTCTAATTCTCACATTTTTGGTCAGTTGATGCTTGGCAAGACTGCCAAGAAAAATCAGCACAGTAAGGAAATTTTTTCAGTAAATAATGATGAGAAAATTTAGTATTCATATGTGAAGAATGAAGTTGAAATCCTGTCTCACACAATATGTAAAAATTAACTCAAAATGAATCAATACCTACATGTAAGAGCAAAATCTATGCAGTTCCTAGAAGAAAACAGACATAATTTCTCCTGACTTTGGATTAAGCAGTGGTTTCTAAGATATGACACTAAAGATAAAAAGGAACAAAAAATTTCATCAAAATTGCCAACTTTTGGGCCGGGGTTGTGGCTTAGCAGTAGAGCACTTGCTGCACATGCCAGGCCCTGGGTTCCATCCTTAGCACCAAATTAAATAAAGGTATTGTATCCGACTACAACTAAAAAATAATATTTAAAAAAAAAACTGCCAACTTTTACACTTTTTTTTTAATCTCTATTTTTTAGGTGTAGTTGGACACATGTCTTTATTTTATTTATTTTTATGTGGTGCTGAGGATCGAACCCAGGGTCTCACACATGCTAGGCGAGCGCTCTACCACTGAGCTACAACCCCAGCCCTCCTCACACTTATTTTTAATATTTATTTTTCACTTATAGGTGGGCACAATATCTTTATTTTATTATTTATTTTTATGTGGTGCTGAGGATGGAACCCAGTGCCTCACGCATGCTAGACGAGTGCTCTACTGCTGAGCCCCGAACTTTCACACTTTAAGGGATATCATTAAGAACATGAAGAGACAGCCATAGCCGGGCACAGTGGCGCACACCTGTGATCCCAGCATCTTGGGAGGCTAACGCAGGAGGATCAAGAGTTCAGAGCCAGCCCTCAGAAAAAGCTGGGTGCTAAGCAACTCAGACCCTGTCTCTAAATAAAATACAAAATAGGGCTGGGGATTTGGCTCAGGGGTCAAGTCCCCCCAGGTTCAATCCTCAGTACCAAAAATAAATAAATAAAGATAGCCACAGTGTGGAAGGAAGTATTTTCATATTATAGATCTGATAAGGGAATAGTATCCAGAATACATAAAGAACTCTTTAAAAGTCAACAGTAAAAGACAAAATTCAGTTTTAAAATGGCCAAAGGATCTGAGTAGACAGAAATTTCTCCAGAGATAGTAATGGACTGTAAGCATATGAAAAAATGTTTTAACATCATTAGTCAACAGGGAATGCAAATCAGTGACACATCATATGACTTCAGCTACTAGGATATCTAGAATCAAACAGATGCTATATCCCCAGCCCTCCCATTCTTTTATGTCTTAAATTTGAGAGCCTTGAAATTATACTGTGGTGTCTTCTGGAAATTGTATGTGCTCATTCCATGGAAAGACTGTCAGCGATACATGCATTAAACTCAGCTCTGATAAAACTTCATCTATGTAATTGTGACTTTTCTTCTTTACATTGCTTTACCATAGTTAAATCTAGTTATTACAGCTATATATTTCAGTCTCTTTTTATTCATTCTTTTTATTTATTCTTTTCAAAATTGAAGTCAGTTAAAAACAGACCTGTTCGGGGCGCTGGGGTTGTGGCTCAGCGGTAGAGCGTTCGCCTCACACGTGCGGGGCCCTAGGTTCGATCCTCAGCACCACATAAAAATAAACAAAATAGAGATATTGTGTCCAACTACAACTAAGAAAAAATAAGTATTAAAAAGAAACAGACCTATCAGTCTCTCTCCACTTTCCCCATTTCTGCTACCTAGCTCTCTGATCATATGTAAGTTTCTTAGCCTCTAGGCCTCAGTTGCCTACAAAGTGGGGGTAACAATCACTTAACTGCCTAAAAGCAGGAAGCTGAACTCTGTAGGATCCTATTGGTGCTTGAGATGCACAGTCTAGCCCTTACTTTGGAACCCGTCTTAAGCGCATTCCATTTCTCTCTTGCCCCAACCCTATCTGCAATGGCACTATGTGCCTTCTCATTAAAATAGTAAATATCCTATCATCCCCTATTTCTCAGCTGCCCTTGGAGGAAAGAGTAAAGTTCCTAAGTTAAAACTTCCCCCAACTACCCAGATACCAGAAACCTGATAGTATAATTAGCTACCCAAAATATTCTTAGTAGTGGGGACACCTGAGAGGATCACAAGTTCCAGGCCAGGCTGGGCAACTTAACAGACGAATCTCAAAAAAAAAAAAAAAAAATGTTTTTTAAAGGGCTTAGTGGTAAAGTGTTTGCTTCACATGTGAAAGCCTCTCATTCAGTCCCCAATACCACCCTCCCAAAAAAAGAAGAAGAAGAAAAATATCCTAAATAATTGATTTAGTTTACTGCATTTGGTTTTCTGTTTTATAACTAAGGCTGATTGAAATACGTTGATTTCTGTGTTTGATCACTAGTTTTAATTGGCAGTGAATCTGAAGGTTTTTAGGTAGGTAAAGTAGTTTTCACTTGGAATTACTTTTCTTTCTTTTGCTTTTCGCAGGTAATGGTAATTCTGGATTTGAAGGACAGAGTCGTTATGTACCATCTTCTGGAATGTCCGCCAAGGAACTCTGTGAAAATGATGACCTAGCAACCAGTTTGGTTCTTGATCCCTATTTAGGTTTTCAAACACACAAAATGAATACTAGGTAATTTTAAGTCTTTATCCTGAATGGAACAGATGATGATGCTAAATTCAAGAAAACAGAATGGCTAATTTTACTTTTGTTCAAAATTTCATACATTAAGAATGTTAAATGATACTAAAGCAAATTACGTGCTGCAGAACGGTTTTCTGCGCCTGCTAAGGGTCTCATCTGTTTTGGTTCTGTGTTCTTACTTTACCTCTGTCACAAAGCACAGCAGGAGTGGCCTCACGTGTTGCTTCCAGCACTGGTGAGGACTATATTAGCTAGAAGTAAGAGCTCACTGGCACCCTCTAAAGCCTTGAAAATGGATGCTTGCTATTTTCCAACTTAGGTTAAATCAGTTATTTTTCATGATTTTATTGGACTTTAATCCTTTTAAATAAATATAGGGAATTTGCCTCTATATTTAATCTCTGCAATTCAGCTAATCATTATAAATCAAGGAAATATTTATTTTAAATGATTATATTAGTATGCAGGTAAGAAACCATGTGTCTTTTGAGTGTCAAAATCTAAATATATATTTACATATTTTCATACATAAAATACTTAATACATTCATCTTGAAATTTCTTATCTTTTAACATCTGAGGTCTATAACTCCTTTATTCAGATTCTCTTAAATATTCTGTGTCATTCTCTAAAAAGATCCTAGATCATTTCAAAATGGTTTCTGCCACCAAAGAGGCAGCCTTTGCCTTCTACCTCTTGTCCTCTGTGGGAGAGGGTGATGTATCTGGTGGGGTGTGAGCTAGCAGGGGCTTAGGATGGAGAGCCAGTCTGGGCTTGCCCCTCTCATCTCCATTGTACTCTCACTGGCATTTGTTGCCCATGTCTGTGACAGTCCAGGAGGAACTGGAAAGCTGGTAGATGGGCACACACAGTTGACAGGGGGACAGCTGACTGTAGGGAAGCTTGGGGTGTCTTTTTCCCCCCTTTAATTTTATCCTTTGCTGGAATTAAAATAAGACACTGTATGCTCCTCTTATCAATTATATTCTAAATCCAGAAAGAAAGAAATTAAGTAACAAGATGCCTTTGATATTTTCATGTTACTTCCTATAGCCATGTGTTTTTTTTCTCACTAAAATAAAGTGAAATGTTGGATGGAATTCAAAGATTATTTAAATAGTTGCTTCCAGGTGACTGGTTGTTTTCTGGAAGATTATCAAGAGTAAATACCCTGATGTCCAATTAAGATCTAGTATACAGGGCTGGAGATATAGCTCAGATGGTAGAGTGCTTGCCTCGCATGCACAAAGCCCTGGGTTCAATCCCCAGCATCACCCAAAAAAAAAAAAAAGTACATCAATTTTTAAGTCCATTTTCCTTTTTTTTTTTTTTTTTTTCTTTTTTTTAATTGGATATAAAAGCCCAGTGTTCATTCTCCTCCTAGAAGATCCTGGTGGAATTTGAGTCACCTCTTAGCTCCCACCTTCCACCATTTTTCCTGAGTTAGGGAGTATAAATATGTGAACCACTTTTTGCACAGAAGTAGCCTTCTGGATGTCACTGTGAAGGCCCACAATGTTGGCCTGAAATCTCTTGAGAAAGTTATGTTGACTGAATTCTGTATACTGAGATATGAGAGCATATAAAATATTTTAAAAAGTTATCCCATCAAAATTATAACAAAAGTTTTAGTGGCTTATGAGAGAACTCTTCGAGTGCTTTATTCCAGAGGATGAAGGCTTATATCCTGGCTTTTGCAACAGGGGATACTCCACAGAGTTCTCCTAAGCCACTGATGCTTCTCATTAGTTCTTATGTGAATCACCTGATAATCTTGTTAAAATGCAGGTTGACTCAGTAGCTTTGGGGCAGGGCCTGGGATTCTGCATTTCTAATAAACTCCCAGACCTCATTTAGAATAGCTATTAGGTCCTAATTCTGGCCTGTGAGTTTGGTTGTGATGTGATAAATGGATTAAAAGTGCCTCATGTATAGTTTCCAAAGGCTGGCTTAAAACGGTGTAGTCATAAAATGTGAAGTTCAGAGGGGTTGGAGATGTATGTAGCTCAGTAGTAGAGCACTGCTTAGCACATGTGAGGCCCCTGCGTTTGATCTCCAGCAGATAAATAAAATGTGAAGTTTGGGATGACCACACAAATATTAAAATACTGAAGTTAAAGTGCACCCTACTCCCACAGAAATTGAAGCATCTAAAATAAAAACTGGTTAAACAAGCTAAACCCACACACAAAAAAATTTATTCGTATTTTAACAACATTTCATCACACTCACTGTTCCTAAAATAGCCTGGTATGGAGCAGCCAGGCCTCCAGATCCTGGGATCGCACAGGTCAGCCTCTGCACTGTGCCAGCCCTGTGGCCGCCATGGTGCATGTGGTGACATCCCTTCCCCTGCCAGGGCTCTCAGGACTGTCCTTTTTGAGCTGACATTTGGGAATATACAGACTTGTGTGTGCATGCACAATGCTGGGGATCAAGCCAGGCCTCACATGTGAGGCTGGCGTTCTCCTCTGAGCTCTATCTCCAGACCCGCAGAAATTTTATTAATGAATATTGTTCATTTTAGTGAAAGATACAGATTTTAATTTAATCTTGGTGGGTAGACTTAGTTGAAAATAAAAGTATTCTTTTTGGCTATTCATCTTTTGAGCAAGAATATATGAGAATATTTTTTTTTTTTAAACTTTTTTTTTTTTTTTTTTTTAAAGAGAGAGAGGAGAGGGAGGGGGAGAGAGAGAGAATTTTTTAGTTTTCGGCAGACACAACATCTTTGTTTGTATGTGGTGCTGAGGATCGAACCCGGGCCGCACGCATGCCAGGCAAGCACGCTACCGCTTGAGCCACATCCCCAGCCCGAGAATATTGATATAAATCATTTTCAGAGATATTAAGCTATAGAAAATAAGGAAAATAGATAAATGCTTTCCTGGAGCAGTTCATAAAATACTTCTTAAATTGTTGGCATTTGAAGACTTCTCAATCGTTGTGTGCAAAGGAAGTATAACTGGAAGATGTACTAGATCTTGAATTTTAAATTCTCCATGCTATCTATATAGTAATTGTATATGAATGGTGTCTTTGTTTATGTTTATGCATCTATAATTTGACATTTTTTAGTTTCTCTTTTTTATGCCTTTGCCTCTCTTCTACTTCTTTCAGTGTACCTCCAAGAATAGTGTCTTAAAGCAGTATATGGGGCTGGGGCTGCAGCTCAAAAGAGGTTTTACAGCTTGCCCAGCATGTGTGACCTGAGTGTGATAGCCAGCACCACCAAAAAAAAAAATATGTTGCCAGTGGTTGTGACCCAACAACACTTGGAATCCCAGCTCTTTGAGAGGCTGAGGCAGAAAGATCACAAGTTTGAAGCCAACACAGTTTAGCAACATCTCAAAACGAGAAAAAGAAAAGGCCTGGGTTCCATCCCCTGTCCTGCAAACAAAACACAAATGTTTAATGATTTTAGAATTTCCAAAACTGGCTTTACTTTGAATAATTATGTTTAATTGTAATGTATTCCTATAGTTACCAACAAGTAGGTCATAGTTAGAGCATGAGTACTTATTACACATGAAATACTAATTTGAATTTATTGGGAAATGTTCATTTAATTGACTTGTCAGTTATGAAACTTAAATTCCTTTTTTTTTTTTTTTTTTTTTCCTTTTGGTACTGGGGATTAGACTCAGGGGCACTCGACCACTGAGCACATTCCCCAGCCCTATTTTGTATTTTATTTAGAGACAGGGTCTCACTTGAGTTGCTTAGCACCTAGCTTTTGCTGAGTCTGGCTTTGAACTCGAGATCCTCCTGCCTCAGCCTCCCAAGCTGCTAGGATTACAGGCGTGCACCACCACACCTGGCCAATTAAATTCTTATTTTTAACAAGAGAATAGAATTGTTGATAATACCTCTGATTTTTTTTTTAAAGGAGTTTGGGGCAAGATGTTACAAAGAAGGATGGGTGCTTTCACTTATGTTCCCTTGTTTAGGCAGTATGACCAAGTGCAGGGGAGATGGAGGAGGAGACAGCTTTACAAAGCAAGAAAAATTGCCTCAGGGCACTTTTTTCTTTGAAACTTGTCTGGATGTTTTTTTCAGTCCAGGTGTTGACTTGCATAGTCCTTACCCTCCCATCACTGTAGCCATCTGGGTTTTATTGTTGTTTATATTTGCATATTCATATCCACTGTTGGATATGAATTTATAATTTACTTTAAATATCACTTCCCAATTAGGTGCTTGAGTAAAATGCAAAATGAAGATTTTTAAACCTTCTAACTTAATCAATGGTAATATTGTATAATATGGGAAGAAAAGAATTTAAACCACCTGGCCTTGTTATCTTGTTGAGCTCATAAGGTTCTGAAATATCACTGTTTTAAGAAGTTTTACTACAACAAATACTGTGCCTGTTTAGAAATTACAGATTGTACAAATAGTTTTTTATTGTTGTTGTTTGTTTTTGCATTTATATAGCGCCTTTCCTTCGAGGAGCTCAAGGCATTTTTCAAAATCTGACAGTTTTCCTCACAACAACCCTGTGAGGTAGGTAGAGTGCACTACAAACAATAATAAGATACCAACTAACACATTCCAGCCTGTGTTTGCTGTTTAATGCTAAGTATTTTCAGATGTTCTAGAACATTTAGCAAACCTTTTTAAATAGTTTGGCCTTAGTTATATATTGTTTTAAAAACCACTTGTACTTCATGACAGGGTAATTTTAGGAGAAACAAATCATTCATCAAAAGATCAGGAGTCACTGCATGGGATTAGCTGAGTTCTGATTGCAGGACTCTGCCAGGTATGTTTTTGGTTCCTGTTTATTTTTTAGGTCAAGAAGAAATGGAGCTGTGGTCCTGTGAGTCTTCCTGTTCGTGTCTGCAGACTGGCAATTTGCAGTGAATCTTTCTTCAGAGGGGGAAATGTGTTCACTTTGTTGCCGCATGGTTTTCTTATTTTATATCTTAAATATTTGAGCATTTTTTTTCTCTCTCCTCCTCTCTCCTGCCCTTTCTCCTTCTTTCTGTCCCCCTTTCTTCCCCTGTCCCCTCCAGTCAACTCTTGATTGTACATAATAATGGAAGGGCACAGTAGTACAGCTAATACAAATCTACAACTTTTCTTCATTGCCACAGTGGTCTCTTGGGTTTGGAGACAGAAAAACCAAATAGCAAGAAAGCCTGGAAAGTCAGTCTCTGGAGAGAGTGGGGAACAGGTGTGTGGGAGTGTGAATTCATGTTTTTCCCCCTGCCTTTTTAAATAATAGCTAATTGTAAATAATGTATTTTTAATTTCTTATAACAGCCATTAGTCAGAGGTGTGGAAAGAGAAAAATAAATATGTTTAGTTTATTTAAAGTAGTAGATTGTGTATTATCCAAGGGTGAAGGGGGCATATTGATTTGGAAATGCCAAATAACTCTTTCTCTTACCTCCCCTGCCAACTCCCTCGCACTAAATTGAAAATCCATATTGGCAGCTGTCCCTTCCCTTGTGTTGTCAGGACACAGCCAGAGCTGCTGCTTGCTGGGCTCAGTGGCAAAACAAGTCAAATCCTCCTCTAACGTGCAGTGACACAAGAGGGCTCCCCCAGGCCAAGTGGCAACAGAACAGGAAAGTCCCAGCTGTCCTGTGAATTAACCCCACATCCTTGGCCAACTACTTAGCTTCACTGGGCCTTATTTTCCTCATTTGTGGAACAAAAGGATTACCCTAGATAATCTGTACTTTTTCCCCCCTAGCTTTAAGTATCAGGGTATTAGAATAGCTTTATGCAATTTATGTGGGAATTTAGAGCTGTTATGGGTGAGAGAGGGTATTTTTCTGTTTACTAGTAGAAAATATTTTTTTTTTTCTAATGTCCTCAGTGACTATTGCCCTGGGCCCTAATAGCTATAACAGTCCTATTTTGTTAAGTAATTTTCATTTCTTAAAGTATTTGTTATAATGGGATTTGACGTGTAGGTTTGTTGGCCAGGTGGTTTTTATATACCCCTACAGGATTATTGAAAACAAGTATGTCTTCCTCTGCCTACCTGTACCCAAAACCATCTCCTTCCTCCTTTTCCTCTCATTTCATGCCTATAGCAGTGAACTATAACAGTAGGTTTTAACACTTTGGGAACAGCAGATATGCCTTTTAAGTGAATAAGGTTTAAGGTAGCAAGGGATCTTTTATGGGTTTTGATCATGTCTGAGGCAATGCAAATCCAAAAAGCAAACAAAAGTCCTCTTGAGAGAAGTAGAAGGCAGGATATTATTAAATAGTTGATTATTTTCTATTGGTTTTAGCATATAAATTGTTTGGTGTTGTGAACAAAGGATAAACAAAATTAAGCATGCCTGAAACACATTTTTAGATAGAGAAAGGAGTGTGTTTCAGAAATTAGAGAAAACACAAAGCAAGCTGGGCTTGTGGCTTAGTGATAGAGCGCTTGCCTACCATGTGTTAAGCACTGGGTTTGGTCCTCAGCACCACATAAAAAAAAGTTATTGTGTCCATCTATAACTAAAAATATTTTTAAAAAGAAAGAAAACACACAAAACCTATTACAGATTTCCACTATCCTCTCCGGATCTGTTGTTTTTCTATAATGTTCTTACAACCTTTTAGGGTAAGTTTACCCCTGACTTCCTTTGTATAATTATTTTTAAACAGTGTCACCATTGGTCAGTTCCACATCAAACCCATAAAGATAGCTTGGTCATTGGGTGTGGTGGCATCTTCCCGTAATCTCAGCAGCTCAGGAAGTTGAGGCAGAAGGATCACCAACTGCCAACCTGGACAACTTAGCAAGATCCTGTCTCAAAGAAATAATAAAATGAAAAGGGCTGGGATGTGGTAGAGCTGAGCTGTGTCAGTGGTAGAACCTCCCTGGGTTCAGTCCCAAGACTGAAGGGGAAAAAAAAGAAAAGATGGCTTGCCTCTCTGTTGTTTGTAGTCCTACCACTTAACATAGGGGTAATTTATTGCATTTGCTCAGAGTGATCAATTGCTTTTCTGATTACTGTGCAAAACATAGATTATCTGTTTCCCACCATTTCATGTTTTATGTTGCTTGTAGTGTTGTTATGCCTTAGCCAGCAACTGCTTTGTTTTCACTTATCTGTTCTTGATTTGCAAACCACCCTTTAGTGTAGGGTTTCAGCAAGAATGGTTTAGCTTGGGTTTCTTAGAGCTCTTACTTTAACAAAGTTGATTGTGATAGCTATACAGATAAGTAGTTTAATATGGACACTCGCAGTTCTGCATCTCTTCAGGTAATTTAGTTGTGGCTCTCCATCACCATATTCTGACACCCTAAAGAAACATTATGAATTGTTTAAAGGACTTGTGTTCATTTCTTTTTGAGGATCTGTATACTAATGAAGTGCAACTAGAAAATAAAGGTGCCATCTCCTTCCCTTCTGTAGGATATGTATAAACTCTTAAGGTACTTGTGCTTAAGAGCAGTGAGAGTGCAGAGCTACTGAGACAGAATCTGTAGCTAGGAAGTTTCTAGTGTTGTCAGTATTTATTAACACACCTGAAGTCCTCTAGAAATCCTGTCCTGGAAACAGTATTAGACTTATCCTGGACTTCGTCTCTTCCCTCTTCCTGCTTCTTGTACTTCAGTATTGCTAGCCAGTTAACTCTGTCAGCTGTTGGAATCCAGCTTTATTAAGACGTCTGCTTAGACTTTCTCTTTCTCTGCCTTCCCTTTGATTCCTTCCTGCCTGTAATATTGTGCTTTTTCTTTAGTAAGCTAACTCCACTTTTTTCATTGCTCACACTACTGTCAACTTAAAAACTTTTCCCAAACAAATCTTGTACTTTAGTTAGAATTTTCAAACTTTGAAGGGCTGTGGCAGCACAGTTTCTACCATTATTAACATGCATTTGCATGCCACTGCCTTGCTTAACTATTGGATGCATATTTATATCTTTCATTCCCTTAATTTCCCTTTCAAGAACAGTGGCCAGCCAGGCACACGCCTGTAATCCCAGTGCCTTGGGAGGCTGAGACAGGAGGTTCGCGAGTTCAAAGCCAGCCTCAGCAACTACGAGGCACAAAGCAACTCAGTGAGACCTTGCCTCTAAATACAAAATAGGGCTGGGGATGTAGCTTAGTGGTTAAATGCCCCAGAGTTCAATCCCTGGTACAAAATGAAAAAGAACAGTGGCGGTAGCTGGGCGAGGTGGTGCATGCCTGTAACCCCAGTGACTTGGGAGGATCATGAGATCACAGCCAGCCTCAGCAAATTAGCAAGGCCTTAAGCAACTCAGTAAGACACTGTGTCTAAATAAAATACAAAAAAGGGCTGGGGATGTGGCCCAGTGGTCAAGTGCCCCCGAGTTCAATCCTTGGTACAAAATTAAAAAGAACAGTGGCCACATCCTCTGTCATTTCACGGGCAGCTGTGTATAGAGCACCTAATAATCCTTGGCAAATATTGTGGCTTATAATCTTAATGAAATGCTAATGAATACATTTGTGATGGCTTATCTAGGAAGAAATGTTGCTGAGTGCTTCCTTTGCTTGAAGCAAAGATCTTATCTTTCCAAATCTTATCTCTGTTTTAGCATTTTTAGGCTCATGAGATGCATAGCTTTAAATGTTAAAGTGTGTAGTTCAAATTTTTTTTTTCCTGAGCCAGTAATATTTTTTCTTCTGGGGGGAGTGGGTACCAGGGATTGAACTCAGGGGCACTCACCACTGAGCCACATCCCCAGCCCTGTTTTGTATTTTATTTAGCGACAGGGTCTTACTGAGTTGCTCAGGGCATTGGTAAATTGCTGAGGCTGGCTTTGAACTTACGATCCTCCCACAGCCACTGGGATTACAGGTGTGCACCATCGTGTCCAGCTTATTTTTTCTTAATATATTTTATTTGAATAGCCCTGTGTAATCCTTTTTCTGTTGCATGTTTGTTTTTTTAAATAACCTTTATTTGAGAAAGTTTGCTAAATGAAATTGTTCATGTGAAGAAATTTTGACCCAAAGGTCACGGTGTACAGCTTCAGAATGAGGGGCTCATACAAACTTCAGTCTTCACAGGGACTAGAATTATCTCTGATTTGGCTCGTGCTGAGCAGGAGCATGTCCTGAGGTCCTTAGGGCTGGTTACATCTGGAGCTTTTTTTGGTGCCACCACATAGTTCGTACAAGCATGGTGGTTTCCCTGACAGTTATACTTCCTGTGCTTTCCTTCTCCTCTGGATGCAGGGGTCAGTATCATCTGGGGAGGTTAGAAGGTCAGGACATATTTGAAGACCTGTGGGGATACTTACATTGGGGTTTTTCTGAGTGGGCTTTTCTACGTTTTTGTTTTGGCATGATTTTGTTTGCTTTATCATACTTCTGAAACACATTTCATTGCACTCTTCCTGTTTGATTCTGCATGTTTTAAAATTTTTCTGTCTTTCTAACTTTGAATTAGACATGCTCTATTCTAGATCTTTCATTGTATTCCTTCTAGAGTGATGACTAGTATAAACCAGAAGTAGACAGCTTCTGTCGTCATGTGGTCACCTCCTAGTTAATGAGATAACTGAATTAAAAATATTAAAACATAGGCTGGGGATACAGCTCAGTTAGTCGAGTACTTGCCTTGCATGCACAAAGCCCTGGGTTCAATCCCCAGCAACACACACACACACACATAAATAACTATATGTAAAAACAGGGTTTGAAAGGATAGTAGGATGACAGAATGAACACACATCATTACCTTAGGTATGTATATGATTGCATGCCCAATGTGGTTCTACAACATGTACAATAAGAAAAAAATGAGAAATTATACCCCACCTATGTATGCTATATCAAAGTACATAAATGCATTCTGCTGTCGTGTGTAACTTAATTAAAACAAAGTTAAAAAAAAAAAACAAAAACATGGTTTGAAGGAAGAGATGTTATATTTCTCCGTGTTAAACATAGTGATTGAACACTAATTCTCAAGATTCTGATTGTTTTCTTCTGTTAGAGCTTTGCTTTGATAACCATGGCTGCTTTTAGGGTATTAGCTCTTAGGATTTTTTTTTTTTTTTTTTAATGGTGCTGGGAATTGAACTCGGGGACTTGTGCATGTGAGGCAAGCACTCTCACTCTACCAACTGAGCTATGTCCCCAGCCCAAGATCTTTTCTTTTTTGGTATAGGGGATTAAACTCGGGGGCACTCGACCACTGAGCCACATCCCGTCCTATTTTGTGTTTATTTAGAGGCAGGGTCTCACTGAGTTGCTTAGCACCTCGATCTTGCTGAGGTTGGCTTTGAACTCACAATCCTCCTACCTCAGCTTCCCGAGCCACTGGGATTACAGGCGTGTGCCACCACAACTGGCTCAGGAGCTTTTAAAATGGAACAGTGGCCCAAAAATTGTGGCAGATAACTAAGCTTATTATTTTGATTTCTTTCAGATTTCGGCCAATTAAAGGAAGGCAAGAAGAACTAAAGGAAGTAATTGAACGTTTTAAGAAAGATGAGCACTTGGAGAAAGCCTTTAAATGTTTGACTTCAGGTGAATGGGCACGGCATTATTTTCTCAACAAGAATAAAATGCAGGAGAAATTATTCAAGGAACATGTAAGTTTATTAAGATTAATGATGTTAACCTCTTTGGATAAAATTGTAGATCTTACTAAATCCTGGGTATTGGTGGACACTGACATTTTAGATCCATTTTTCATAAAAACTAGTAAGTATGGAAGTCTTCTGACAAATAACATCATTTGGATGACTACTCAAGAGAAAACTTTGTCTTCTGGGAAGTGAAGTTTAGAGGAATATAGCCAAGTTACCAGGTACTAAAATATATAAAACTGAAAGGTAACAGTGAAGTTTGTCACTGAATGACCTTACGCTTTTCACATGGTTGCCATGGTGTGCTTTTATAATTCTGAAAAAGCCTACAGGATACATAATTTACAGTCGTTATCATTTTTTTTTTTCCTATTTTAGGTATTTATTTACTTGCGAATGTTTGCGACTGACAGTGGATTTGAAATACTGCCTTGTAATAGATACTCATCAGAACAGAATGGAGCCAAGATAGTTGCAACAAAAGAGTGGTAATTATTACTACCCATAATAGCCTAACCCATAAAGTAACTTTAAGATCTCTTAAATTACTCGTGTCATGCTAAGGAAGTCTGGGTAAGGGTTGAGGCCAGCATTTCCCCTAAAGGAGCCAGTGCAGTGCCATTACTCTGCCTGCTGACTAGAGTCAGGGTGACAGAGTCAGGTCTGAGTGATCCGGGTCCCACCTCTGGGCTAAAGTGCTGTCCGTTTTCCTATGTTGTATGCAGCCTCCATGGGGAGGAGATTGCTGCAAGGCTGGGGGTGCCCGGGGTATAACCTGGCTCCAGAGCCAACCTTTCACTGTCTTAGAGGAAAGACTGGAAGTAAAGTCTTAATCATCCTAGGTGGAAATGATAGAAACATCCTCATGTGTTACCTGTTTAAAAAAAAAAAAAAAAAAATATATATATATATATATATATATATATATATATATCAGCTTAAATTAAAGTAGTAGAGCTATAGCCAGGCACCATGGTACACATCAGTAATCCTAGTGACTCAAGAGGCTGAGAAAGGAGGATCACAAGTTTGAGGCCAGCCTCTGTAATTTTGTGAGACCTTGTCTCAAAAAGGGCTGGGAATGTGGCTCAATGGTAGAGTACCCTGGGTTTAGTCCCCAGTGCTGCCAAAAGAAAAGAGTAGAGTTGAGCCTACTTGGGAGGGCTAAAAGCCATAGATGAAATTTTAAGTCAGCTTTTATAAAACTTGGTGTGAATATCTTGTAACACAAGGTGATTTGGATGTCTATTCAAGAGAGATCCTGGATGGTGGGCTCCAGCTGGTGGCTCCACTTTCTGGGTCCTTGTGACCCTTTATTGCCACTAGTCCCTGTCTGCTTCATCCTGAGGTCCACGAATTTTGTGCACGCAGCAGAAGTTTGAGCACTTTCTGCCCATGAAATATTATACCAGGTGCCACAGGTGCTGCTGGAGGTTCAAGAGACAAGGGGCACAATTCCTGTCCCGGAGGGGTTTCCTTTCTCTCCTAGGAATAAGGCTGATGACAAGTAACCATGGTCCCAGCTGTGGGGCTCCAGGGGGAGATACCCAGGTGGGGTCCAAGTATACACAGGGCCCCTCAACTTCTAGTGTTTATTGGCACGCTAATTTTATTAAAAGAAGCCTTATTATTTATAATTACTAGTAATTTTTAACACATCACATATTTCAAATAGGAAACGAAATGACAAAATAGAATTACTGGTGGGTTGTATTGCCGAACTTTCAGAAATTGAGGAGAACATGCTACTTAGACATGGAGAAAACGACTTCAGTGTCATGTATTCCACGAGGAAAAACTGTGCTCAGCTCTGGCTCGGTCCCGCTGCGTTCATAAACCATGGTAAGCTGCACTTCCAGGGTGTCTGCTCTGGTGTCGGGCAGTCCTGCCAAGTTAGTGGGGCCTCACCACACTCAGTGAAACCTCCTCTTTAAGGGAGAGTTCTAATTAAGAATTCTTTTTTCACAAACTTATTAAATATTCCTAGTTTGACTTGAGACCTAAACTTCTATCAGGAATTACAAAGTTGTCTGAAAAACCTTTTCAGATTTCTGTAACTGTTCGTGTTTCAGATCTTATCAACAGTTAATTGACTTTCTCTTTTGGACATTTTTCAGATTGCAGACCTAACTGTAAGGTAAGCATTAAAAAAAATGGATATATATATATCTATCTATCTATCTACCAGTATTTTGTTTCTGCCTGGGTGTCAGACTCTTACTGAGTTACTTATATTTCAGTTTGTGTCAACTGGTCGAGATACAGCATGTGTGAAGGCTCTAAGAGATATCGAACCTGGGGAAGAAATTTCTTGTTATTATGGAGATGGGTTTTTTGGAGAAAACAATGAGTTCTGCGAGTGTTACACTTGTGAAAGGTAAAGTATTAAATAAGATTTTCAGCTTAGATGTTCTTTTAGCTATCTGATGGTTATTGGTATAACTCTTATTGTTTCTTTATATCTTAAATGCGGAGATAGATTTTTATATTATGCAGCTCCCAGTGTAAAGTATGTAAACAAAATCAAATGGTGTGCAACTATTTAGGGACACTGGCACCTGTCCCTTTAAAATCTTCATATTACCAGCTGTGACAAGTGGGTCAGGATACAGAAGTGCTTAAGGAAAGATTGTATATTAGTACACACTCGTGCACACATGCAGTGCCAGAGTGGGCCTCCCAAAATGGCAAGTGTAGTTCTGCCTTAGAAGGCATGTAAAAACCCTGAGGTTGCCTTGCATATCATCAAACTGTGTCTTCTGGAATTTTTGTTTTGATGTACATACTATTCACAGTCCCTGGGTTCCCTGCTGACACTTGGTGAGCAACCTCTTTATGACCCATCAAGATTGTGGGTCCTGCTGGGCACTGTGGTGCCACTCCTGTAACCACAGCGACTCAAGAGGCTGAAGCAGGAAGATAGCAAGTTCAAGGTCGGTCTCAAGTACTTTGCAAAGCCCTGTCTCATTGGTAGAGTACCCCTGGATTCTGTATTCAGGACCAAAAAAAAAAAAAAGATTCTGCGTTGTGGGCTGGGGCTGGACAGCTCAGTGTTAGAGCACTTACTACTGAGCATGTTGAAGTCCCTACAGTGGATCCCACCAATTTAAAAAAAAAATGGGGTCCTTTTGGAAATTCTCAGTCTACTTCAGCAGGACTGGCAGCTTGTGCCACTTGTGTAGTGACTTCTGTGAACTGGAACTCCTGGGAGATAATGTCAAAGCTGGTGTAGGCAGGGCCACAGGAGGGTCCTCTTTCAAGGAGATGCCACATGCACAGCCACACAGGGAGAGAGCCTGTCTGATTTCAACCTCTGCTGGACCCCGGACTCACCCTCCCTCCTTCAGTCCTCACAGCTCTCCTGTGAGAAAATAGCAAGTGACCCTGTCCACTGACTCTGGTGGAGTCCTCATGCTTTCCACTTCCTGTTGCTTTTGTAGGTAGGACCTATTTATTAGCACCACTGCTCTCTCTTAAAATAGCCAGCCTAGGGAAGAGAGGGCAGAAGCTCCTCACATTACCCCCTCATTGGGGTCTCCACCAGTAATGAGAGAGGGCTGGGTTATAATTCCATCCTGGCCCTTTCTCTCCCAGCTTTGGGCTCCTTGCCACAAAGGGATAGTTGAAAACCTGTTCCTAATGTTGCCAAAAGGCAGGGCACAGGGGAGGTGGGCATACAATTTATCTTTTAACATTAAAAGTGATTCAAGGAGCTAGGGTTGTGGCTCAGTGGTAGCGTGCTCGCCTTGCATGCATGAGGCACTGGGTTCGATCCTCAGCATCACATAAAAATAAAGACAATAAACTCCATCAGAAACTAAAAAAAAAAAAAAAAATTTTAAAGTGATTCAAATGTTAGATCTTAGACCTCCACAAAAATATTCTCTAGGCCCTGGGGTCTTGGCTCAGTGGTAGAGTGCTTGCCTAGAATGTTTAGGGTTCGATTCTTAGTACCACATATAAATAAATAAAGATCCATTGACAATTTAAAAAAATAAAAAGTAAATATTCTCTAATCCATGAAGTCTATTTGGGGGGGGGGGGGTGCCAGGGATTTAACTCAGGGGCACTTGGTCACTGAGCCACATCACTAACCCTATTGTATTTTTTTTAGAAACAGTTCTCACTGACTTGCTTAGCACCTCGCCATTGCTGAGGCTGGCTTTGAACTCGTGATCCTCTTGTCTCAGTCTCCTGAGTTGAGTTATAGGTGTGCACCACCATGCCTAGCCCATTAAGTCTTTTAATTATAGAGAAAGCAGAATGAAGCTCACTTATGGGCCTGTGATCTGGAGCCACAATGCTGGAATCAGAACCCTGCAGCTCTGTATGTCATTAGCCCTGAGGTGATGGCATGTTACGTAGCTCCCTGGGCCTTCATTTTCCCCATCCATAAAATGAGAACAGCATAATATTTCATAGGGTTGTTTTGGGGATTAAATTTGTTATTTGACATAATACATGTAGAACAGCACACAGTTAACACACAAAAAATGTTAGCTATAAAATTATTTTGTGTTTTCTGGTTATTTTAAAATACAAGCTGTATGAAGGCAGGGACTTTATCTTCTTCATCTACTGCCATGTATACAGAACAGTACCTGGTACAGAGGTGCTTGATAAGTATTGGGAAAATGAATGAATGAATGTAATAAATAAATACGATGAATAAGTTTTTGGAAGCTGTCCTTAAAAACCCTAACCATATATTCAGGATTCCAAAATAACACAAAACAACTCTTTACCTGGTGTGTGGGAGGGTTGTTTTGGTGTTCTTTGTTTTTGGTTTTTTTTCTCTTTTTTTTTTTTAAGAGGCCAAGTGTGGCTGTATTCCCAGGCTGGTCTCCAGGTCCTGTGCTCAGTCCGTCAGTCCTCCTACCTCAGCCTCCCAAATGACTACACTACAAGCACCACTCTGCCCAGCCTCTGTACCCATTCAGAACTACATGGTTGGTCATGTTCTTTGGGCAGATTAGTTCTCCCTCAAGAGCCATGATTTCCTTCCCAGTCAGATGCAGTGATTCCACAGCTTAGGGTGAGAGGGAGGTGGAAAAATGTGAGAGCCTTTCTAGGGAATGGCACGCTACAGAACATGGCATGGCTGTTGTCAGACCAAGCAGTTTGGCTCAAAAGTTGGCTGGGGATGTAGCTCAGTTGATAGAGTGCCTGCATGCACAAGGCCCTGGGTTCAGTCCCCAGCACCACAAAAAAAAAAAAAAAAGAAAGTTGGCTGCATGTGTTCCTGAGATTCTCAGTAACACCACATTGTTTCTGCCTTTACGGAAAGTGACTGGGGAGATGAGACTAAAGGAACTCATTGAATAATTCATCAGATAGTAACAGTAGTGCAGGAGAAACGAGACTAGCACAGGGCCTGCTGTCAAAGCAGCACAGTGAAAAAGGCAGGGACTTGTGTGCTGAGAGCCCAACTGGGCCAAGAGCTCACTCCAAGGAAACCAGAGTGAACAGAGCGAACGGATTTCACTCTAAACATTTGAAGGATAGAATTTGATAAAGACCTAAATCAAAGGTGCTGTGAGCCAGGTGCAGTGGTACATGCCTGTAATCCCAGTGACCCAGGAGGCTGAGGCAGGAGGATTCCTCAGCAATTTGGTGAAACTTCATCTTGAAATAAAAAATAAACACAGCTGGGAACATAGCTCAGGGGTAAAATGTCCTAAGTTCAGTCCCCATTACCACACGGGGGAAAAAGGAATGCCAGGCACAGTGTTGCACTTCTATGACCCCAGCAGCTCAGGAAGCTGAAGCAGGAGGATCGTAAGTTCAGAACCAGCCAGCAACTCAATGAGACCCTGTCTCAAAAAAATATAGATATAAAAAAAATAGATTGGGGAATGAGGCTCAGCGGTTAAGCTCCCCTGGTACCAAAGGGAGAGAGAACTCTGATCTTACCTATAAAGTCTTAAAAATTTTAAGAATATTACTCCTTCCCTATTTAGTATATAAATTGTTTGGGACTTTAAGCATTTTGCTTTTGGAATTGGTCAAAATTATTTTAAAGCTGATATAAAAGTGTTTTTTGAAAGCTAAAAAAACAAAACAAAACAAAACTGGCATGTGAGGGTAAGCCGGGCATGGTGACCTTGACCTGTAATTCAGTACACCTGTACTTGGGAAGCTCAGCAGGAGGGTCAGAGGTTTGAAGCCAGCCTGGGCAACGTAGCTAAAGCTTGTCTAAGAATAAAATAGAAAGGGCCAGGGTGTGGCTCAGTGATGGAGCACTTGCTTACTTGCAAGGCCCTGGATTTAGCCCACAATAAGCAAAAAGAAGAATGTTAGGGGACAGTTACCTTAACAGATGGCAAAATTTGTTATTAAATAATCAGGGCTAGGGTTGTGGCTCAGTGGTAGAGCACTTGCCTTGCATGTGTGAGGCACTGGGTTCAATTCTTAGCACCATATACAAATAAACAAATAAAATAAAGGTCCATCAATGTCTAATAAAAAATTTTTTAAAAAGTAATAATTATTATAATCAAACTTGATTATGATGGCTCAGAAATGGACAAATAAGAGAACATGGATGGAGTCCTGAAATGGAGACAAGTATAGATTGAGATCTTAACATATATTGGGAAACAATTGTTTCTTTTATAGATAATGTTAGTCTGATTTAATATACTTCCGGAGGGGAAATCAAGCCATAACACATCATATATGTAATAAATTCCTATTGTATTAGAATCTAAAATTTAAATAATACAATATAAAAATACTAGAAAAACAATTTAGGAGAGCACAATGAAGGTCTTCTTGAAGACAGTAAGGCAAGAAATGCGGAATCCAAAGATGTTTGAATGGCCAAAATAAAGTCCACACTGTATGATTTACTGAAGGAAAATAAAATATCTATGTGGCAAAAAGTTAAAATCCTAACAAAAAGCATCTCCCAAGGAAAGAAAGTCTGACGGGAAAAAGGTAAAGGAAGAAGAGGTTCTGCGCAGAAAGAGATGGCCACAAGCAAGGAAATTAGTATATTTGAATAATTAGGAATTATTCAAATATACTATGAATAATTAGGTATTCATTTTCCCTCAATAAATTGGGAAAATTCAAGAAACAAAATGTACCCCTAGTGAGGATGTGAAGAAACAGGTACCTAGATGGTGCTAGTAGGGTCATGAGTTGCTGGAACCTTGGGGAAAGTACTCTGGCAGTGTGTATTAAGAAGAGGCAAACCCTGTCCCCGGCGGTCCCATGTTCAGGAGGAATTCAGCCTGAGAAATAGGAGCACCCATGGGTAAGGATTTGGTTTCCAAGAATAGTAGAACAGCAGTATTTGCATAAGAAAGAATATTAAAACAGTTTCATTGATCACCTCTGAGGAACTATTGAATAAATCCTGGAATGTTAATGAAAATATGCAGCCTTCAAAGTTCACCACCAGGGCCAGGGTGCCACTTACAGGGACAGTGCCTACCTGGCATGAGTGAGGTGCCTACCTGGCACACACAAAAGAAAAAACCCAAAACCTGTATGCTCAGTGCAGATTTGTCCATGATTGATGTAATGATAGGATTTTTTTAGACTGTTTTTAATTTTTAGTTTTTTAGGTGGACACAATAGTTTATTTTTTTTAAAGAGAGAATTTTTTTTTAATATTTATTTTTTAGTTTTCGGCGGACACAACATCTTTGTTTGTATGTGATGCTGAGGATCGAACCTGGGGCCGCACGCATGCCAGGCGAGCGCGCTACCGCTTGAGCCACATCCCCAGCCCCACAATAGTTTATGTGGTGCTGAGGATCGAACCCAGAGCCTCATGTATGCTAGGCAAGCGCTCTACCACTAAGCCACAGCCTTAGCCCCAAGTAAAATATTTTTTAATATTCAGATATTTTGGTTTTGTTGGCTTGAAAAGCAGCAGTGATATAAAGAGTTGTGTAGGACAGGAAAGGAGTGGAGGAGTGGGAGGGCGGTGCTGCCGGGGTGCCTAGGAGGCTGCTCCCCTTTGCTTTGTGGACAGCCTCGGATTGCCTTACTTGTTGCAGCAAGCATGATTTCATAAGTTAAAAAGAAGTAAGATTGTAGAATACAAGTGAGTGTGAAAGTTTACTGTTTTAAAAAAAAAACTAATTTCAGAAGTTCCAACACTGCTTATTATTGCTATTGTGTTATACTTCACTCTCTTTTTTTTGTTTGTTTGGGTAGGTGGGTAAGTGTGGGTGTGTGGAACTGGGGATTGAACCTGGGGCACTCTAACGTTGAGCTACATCCCCAACTCTTTTTTATTTTTTATTTTGAGGCAGGATCTCACTGAGTTGCCAAGGCTGGCTTGGTACTTGAGATCCTCATGCCTCAGCTTCCTGAGTCCCTGGGATTATGGGCGTGCATCACTGCACCTGTTATATATCCTGGAAACCAAATCATTATTTACAGCTGCTCTTATTTCTACAGGATGGATTCTTCCCCAACGTGGGACCGCCAGGGACAGGGTTTGCCTCTTTTTAATACACACTGCCAGATTTCTTTCCCTAAGGTTCTAGCAATTCATGGCCATTAGCATTTGTGTTCAAGTGTATTTTATATATATATACATGGGCACAATATCTTTATTTTGTTTATGTTTATGTGGTGCTGAGGATCGAACTCAAAGTCTCACACATGCGAGGCAGAGCCCTCCATCACTGAGCCACAACCCCAGCCCTCAAGTGTACTTTTAAGTATGTCCTGTCTTTCTAGTCATGAACTAAAAATATTAACAAGTTATGGTTTAGAAAAAAATCAAAATCATGGAGTGTCTGAAAATAATTTCTTTTTCAATTGCTATGGACTGAGCCTTTAGGGCTCACACACATGCATTCTAAATGTGTCTTAGGATGAAGTGGCGTGGGCCTGGTTGCTGCTCTGGTGAAGGTTTTTCTTTCTTTTTAATGATTTTTTTTTAATTGTCAGTGGACCTTTATTTGTTTATATGTGGTTCTGAGAGTCGAACCCAGTGCCTCACACATGCAGGGCAAGCACTTTACCACTGAGTTATGACCACAGCCCACCTGGAACTTTTTACAGTGATTTCTATCCCACTTTTGAAAAAATAATTGAGGCAATTTCACAATCAGTTTTTAGTTGTTTTTACAATAGCGTTAGTCAAAATTGCTGTCTAAAGTGGATTTTAAATCCTAGTAAGAATGTTAACCTTTACTTACCAAAAACAACAACTATGTTAGGTTCAAATCTGTGCTTTCCCAGTACTTAGGGCCAGGGGGCAGGAAGAGAAATAAAATGTATATTGTCCCTTAGCAAAAGTAAAACACACTACTTCTTTGGGGGAGGAATATTATTTTTTTCCTTCATCCAAATTCTGGAAGAAATGCATCGGTCACATGGGACTTGCAGAGGACAGTTAGTAGTGCTCACTTGATGGGGAGCATTCCTCCCCATCCCCCCACCCCCACCCCAGGAATTGTTGCTTAACCACTAAGCCACATCCCCAGCCCTTTTTTAATGTTTGTTTTTTGAGACAGGGTCTTGCTAAGTCCTTAGGGCCTCACTATGTTGCTGAGGCTGGCCTCAAACTTGTGATCCTCATGTCTCAGCCTCCTGATTTGCTGGGATTACAGGTGTGTGCCACTGCAACACAATTTTGTCACAAGTTCAGAAGCTATATTATATGACATTCTATTGACAAGGTAAGGCCACAAAAGGGCAAAATGATTTTGGCCAAAGAAATTTCTCTGTTTTTTTTGTTTTGTTTTGTTTTGTTTTTGATACCACATGTAGTCTTCTGTTTAACATTGTTAATTCATAATAGAACTGAGTAGAGACTTGCCCTTGATATACTGACTAAGCAAAGATTTGCACAACCAGATTTAGGCAGTCTAGGGAGACTCCTACCAACCACATGCATTTATTGCAGAAGAATCATATAAATATGTTGAGGAAAGGTGTCCACTAGTTAAAGTTAAGTCTTTTAAATGTCTTTAATTTAGTAACAGTTTATTAATTTAATTATGATTGTTCATATTAATTTGATAATTTAAGGGAACTACTTAACTGTTTTTATTCTTCCAAGAGACAGATATTCACTAATAATACCCTCACCTTTTTACATAGAATTTCAGTCATAATTTGTGTGCATATATAACATCTAAGTTCTAGGCATTGACTTAATTTATGGAAATTCTGTGCTTTTTAAAAATTTCTGAATTCTTTTTTTTTTTTTTTTTTAATATTTATTTTTTAGTATTTGGCGGACACAACATCTTCGTTTGTATGTGGTGCTGAGGATCGAACCCAGGCCACACGCATGCCAGGCGAGCGCGCCACCGCTTGAGCCACATCCCTAGCCCCAAAATTTCTGAATTCTTAACATTCAGTTAATGTAGTGCTAAGTGGCACATAGCAAAGTTAAAATTAACATTTTAGTCTACACAGAAGGCTAATAGATTTTCATAGTAGGCAATTTGCAGTCAATTGACAACAGTCACAACAAGTGATTTTTGTTCTGATAAGCATAGTTTTTAATGTTAATTTTATTAGTTACCTAATGAGCCTCCTAGACTTGGCACTTATCCAGTGGTGGTCAGAGCCTCACCAGGTCTCACCATTGAGCCCACATGGCCAGGTGCTCCCTGCAGCCAGGCCCGCTGTGAATTCGTGCACTCCATTCACTGAACTTGTGCTGTTTTCTCTTACAGACGAGGAACTGGTGCTTTCAAATCCAGAGTGGGACTGCCTGCGCCTGCTCCTGTTATCAATAGCAAATATGGACTCAGAGAAACAGATAAACGTTTAAATAGGCTTAAAAAGTTAGGTGACAGCAGCAAAAACTCAGACAGTCAGTCTGTCAGCTCTAACACTGATGCAGACACCACTCAGGAAAAAAACAATGCAAGTAAGTAAGGGAGATTTGATAAGATGCCTTTTTTTTTTTAAGTATTTTCACAAAATTTGCTTTCTAAAGCATGCTTCAGTAGTTTCGAACTTCTAAATATTGAGAGAAACTGGGACTCATGAGCTTCAGCAGCCCTGCAAGGTTCTAGAAATGGTTTGAGTACAGAGCACAGTTGTGCCCACCTCCAGATTCAGTGCCGTACTCTAGACTGTTCTTTTGAATACTTGGTAACTGGATATTGAATTCTTCATCATATATTCCAGGATCATCATGTGTTTGAGGAAAACATTTTCAAAGTGTTAGTGACTCTGTCCTATTGGTGTCGTTAGGCCCTGCAAGAAGACAAGGGACCTGGTAAATTGTGCAGGCTCACATGTGTCCAGTGTCCAGCAGTCTGTTAGGAACAGGTGATGGACTTGGGAGTTCCTAGCTTCTGGCCTCAAGACTTCCACCTTTTTACTACTCACTTATCTTTTTCAAAACGAACTGACTCAATTCACCAAACCACCAGAATAGACTCACAATCGTGCCTGAGGAGCACTCGGATGTGGCCATGTTGTGGCACGTTGGGTTCACGCCACAGAAAGTAGGAAGAGAGATGGAAAGAGAAAGAAGCAAGCTTTGAAAACCAGTTGTATTTGGGGGCAAGATCTGATAGAAGCTGGAAAAAGGGTATGAAGAACAAACAAAAAGAAAAGGAAGAAAAGAAAACCTAAACAGGCAGAGGACAGCACGACGTGTGAGGAGCTCTGAAGTGCTGGAACATGACACTGCTGTCATCGTCTGGGTAACACCTGTGTTCTCTAGGTGCCACTACAGTGGTGGGCTCTTTGGCCTGCCTTGTCTCTGACAGAGATGGCTACTGGAAGGGTTTGACTTGGTGGTCCCCAAAGTCTCCTGTGCTGGCATCTTAATGACAGTATGACTTGCAAGCACTTAGGAAATACCTGAGGTGCTGGGTATCTTAGGCTCTCCCACGCCTCGGCTACTCCCTCCCAGACAGAAAACCCTGAAGAAAGGGGTGAATTGAATGTCACTGCCACGGATTCCTGAATCTACCTGCTGCTGGGAGTCAGAGGCCAGGTGTGACCTCTGTAGTGTAAAAGTAACAGTATAGTTCTGGTCCAGACTTTTTAGTTAATGTTCAAAGTGAGCAAAAAGAGGAGTTAGTTGATCATTCACTGTTGACTGTTGATTCAAAAATAAATGCAGCGTAATGAACCTTCGCTTTCTGAGTCTGGTTCCTTGGTGAAACTGGAGACCCCATGTGATAGACCCTCACACGAAAACACAGGGGTGCATGCTGCCATCTGCACCTGGAGACAGCCACAGAGCCGCCTGCAGGGAATGGCCCTGCAAGGTGTGGAGCTATCTGCTTCTGTGCATGAGCCTTGTTACCAGTATGTAGACCCTGCACTCAGTACACCACTTGGCTGAAAAGATAAAAGTATGAATAGTTTTTGGAAGGTGTTGGGTGTATTAATAGATAACCATCTAGAAAATGTCTATTACTAAATCAGACCCTTACTAAAAGCCTGCTAGTAGTTGGAGAGACAAGGGTGTATGAGACCCGGTCCCCTACCTCGGGGAGCTTGTGCTTTAGCTCCAAGACAAATGCACAAAAAACAGAGCAGACTAGACACTTCATTTTCTCAAGTTTAGAGGGAACAGGATGCCTTTGAGCTAACCTCAGCAGTGGCTGCTTATTCTGGGGTGCTTGCTTTGCCCAAGTTGCCTTTCCGCAGCATGACTTTGGAATAACCTGAGGGCTGGTGTGGCTGACTTGAGGGCGCAGTAGAGTGGATAGACATCGTCCAGTGCTTGAGGGAGCCCAGACTTCAGCTATCTCTGAGGCCACTGTCCCTTGAATCGTGCACAGAAGGATTTCTGTGGTTCTTACACGTATTCCTTTAGGCTATATTCTTTTGGTGTTTATCTCTCAACCAGACCCTTTAAAAAAGAACGAGTTTTTGAAACTGGAGAAGGGCCAGAGCTGCCAGAGCTCTCTTCCCGGGGAGCTGGGCGTGTGGCGTGCATAGGTGTGGATGCCATCTCTCTGCTGCCTGTCTGCCCGTCTTTATCTCGCACTTCATGTAGGATTTAGCAGCTGAGAGAGGAACTCTTTTCTCTGAACAGCACGTACAAAGAAACATTTCCACCTATTCGGAACCTCCCTTCCGCGCAGGTTCTTTTTTTGGAAGGTGTCTTCAGAGCTCCAGCCTGACTTTGCGCTTTAGCGTCCAGGAGTGGAAACAAGAAGAAATCTATTTTCATAAACTCAGTCTACCAATCGGAATGGCAGAGTTGTTATTAAGAGTATTCTGGTTTTTCAGGCCTGTGTGCCTTGCGGCCTGGGGAGCTTCCTGTAGTTAGTCTTGTGATACAGGATGCGAAGGCTCTCAAGAGCGTGCCTGAAGGTGTGGACACAGCCACTGCCAGTATCACCAGTCAGCACAGGACCCAGAAGATGAGGCCAGTGGGATCAGTTTACCCTAACTAAGGAGCAGTGGTCACAGACGTGGAGATTGGGCTGCCTGCTCCTGGCACCGAGCCTGTGGCTGCGTCCACATCCTGTCCAGCACGAGGCTGAGAGGTTGGCGAGAGCTGCTTGTGCGTACCAAGCTCACAGAGACTGAGGCCTTTAGAGTCCTGTGGGGTTGTCTGGGTTCTCAGGCTCTGCTGATGCTGAACTGAGAGTGACCCTCATAGCATCTTGTGTTGCAGGTGGTAGTGTCTCTAGAGCAGCCTGAGGACTCAGGAAAGCTCAGCTGTCCTTCTGCAACTCTTCCATCTGGCTGTAGGGATGCCATACTGCCTTATAATTTTGATGGCCCCTTGAAATTACTATGAGAGCCATGTCCTTTGCCCATCAATTGGGACTGACACAATAATAATTCTGCAGTAGACCTTATAGGCAGCACAACTGATCAGGAACTCACCATCTTTTTAAAAAAAAATTTTTTTTTGTACTGAGAATTGAACCTAGAGGTGCTCTATCGCTGAGCTATACCCTCAGCCTGTTTTGTTTTGAGATAGGGTCTCTCTGAGCTACCCATGCTGGCCTTGAACTTGGGATCCTTCTGCCTCAGTCTTCAAAGTTGCTGGGATTACAGGCATGCACCACCTCACCCAGATAGGTTCAAATCCCACCCCTGCCATTTGGTAGATGGCTAGCTTTAGGTTACTCATCACTGAGAGCCTGGCTTTCACAGACGTGTGATGTCACTTCAGGTCCTGGTAGACCTGTTTGCACAACACCTAGCACATAGTAATTGCTGAAAAGAAGTGTACCTCCACCTAAAACTGCTGTCCAAGTATATGCATTTGGGGGATTTCCAGGTCACTGGAGAAAGAAAATCCCACAGGAGAAGTCGGTACAGAGCGAGGGTAACTGAAAGTACGCCTCATCTCCACTAATGTCAGAGTCCTTACTCTGTTGACATTCTTTTTAAAAAGACTTGACTTTTTTAGTGTGTCATTGTGGACAGCCCTCCTCTTCTAGCCTTACTATCACTGAAATTCCCAACCCCTTCAAGGACATGGTAGCACTTTTTGGACAGTGAAGGACTCTGGACCTTGCATCTTAGTCACATCTCTCACATTCCTCTTGCCTAGCTTGTGTGTGTCTTTTTAGTCTTTGACTTGATGAGCTTACCTTTTGACTGGACTTGTGATGAGATAATGCTTTTCAAATAAGAACACACCGATAAGTGCACAAATATGTAAGTGAAATCTTGAAATCCTGTGTGCCGTCAAATGCAGTCTGTTCAGCCTGGATCACAAACGAGGTGATTTGTCAGCGGCTGGCACTGCGGCCAGCACTGGACTTCTTGGAAGGAAGGATGGACTGAGGAGAGCCTAGACTCAAACTTACCTTAAGGTGGGATCAGCCAGTGAATTAGATTAAGTGCTGAGTAAGCAAAGTCTTTGGGTGCTGTGACAACACAAGGGCACCGCAGGTTGGTTCTAAGAGGAAGTCACGGGAGCTCCCTGCAGGAGGCACTGCCCAAGCTGAGGATCAGCGGGGAGTGAGAAGTTGGCCCAGTGGAGCCTATTCAAATCAGGAGCCTTTCATCCGAGTGCATGCACAGGTGGAGAACTTGGTCATCGTGGCTGCTGAAGGTGAGAAGATGATCTGTGACCAGAGTCTAGCATTTTGGACTTGATTCTCAGGGCATTAGGTTAAAACTGAAAGTGACCTGAGATAATGGGGAAACCATTCTGGCTGCGTGGGGGAGAATGGGCTGTTGGGAAGACAACAGGAGACAGGGAGCGGGTAGGTTTAGGCAGCAGGTTCCATGACATTGCAGGGTGGTCTCCGCAGTACGGCTGGATGACTGGATGAGGTGGTGAAGGAAGGAAGAGTTTTGGACGCCTCCAGCATCCCACATGGGCACTTGGACAAGTGGTGTGTCGTGTTTTGAAGACGTGATGGCGCTCAGATGGAGAAACTTCCTGAGTCTGGTGGTGAGCTGGACACAGGCACAGCGAAGGACTTGCGAGAAGCCTCAATCGGCACTTGGCTGCTGGAGTCTGGCATTAGAAAAGGATTGGGCTAGAGAAGGTATCAGGGGACTGTCGGCATATAGGAGGTGACAGCCACGGGCAGGTGGGTTCCCGTCACCTGGAGAAGAGAGTATGGTGTTTGGGGCTGGATGCCAGAGAGCTGAAGAATGAGGGTCTTGGGAAGATGAAGAAGTGCCAGAGACCGGAAGAACTAGGAGTGCGCTCTCCAATGGCCAGGAAAAGATGACGTCCTGAGAAGGAGAGAACAGTCGGTGTCCCATTCAGAGAGAAAGGCAGGTCTGAGAAGTGCGCACTAGATTTCATGACGAGGAAGTGTCGGTTGGCACAGGCTGTCTTCGAGAAGCGGGCCCAGCGTGCACGGGGCGCTGGTGAGAAGGTGGTGTGTACGACCACGGAGTAGAGCGTGGCAGGAGCCTGGAGTGGCAAAAGGAAGCGAAAAGCTGATCGCGGATATAGGTCTTGAGGTGTAAGACAGGCAAGGGGTCCTCATGACCGCATCCAGGAAAGTCAACAGGTGCAGGCCTTCCTGGAAACGACCAGGACACTGGTGTGTCTATGTGGACATCGCATCTGCTCAGTCCACCTTGTCCTCTTTGCTAAAGACTTCCATAAATATCCTTGTATTTAGAAGAATAATGCATCCTCAAATTGACTGGTATCTAAACTTCATTACTCCTGTTAATCTAAAAATAAGCTTCCTCCTTGGTAGCAGCCCACACAGATGAGCTATTCTTACTTAGTTCAGTCAGTGGATCTCACCACTGTGATTCTCCTAGTCTGGGTAACTGAAGGCATTTATGAGCCATCCTCTGAGTAGAGAGCCTTGGTGATTAGATCATTTCTGGAGTGCTTAGGCATTTTTGTTCCCCTCTCAGGAAAAACTAGTGATGATTTTCTTGTTCAGCTGTGCAGAAGGGATGGCAGCTGTCCAGGCACCCTGTGGAGCCTTGTCCTCCCTTGGCCTCCCTGCTCAGATTGCCCACAGTAGGTGTTTCATCCCTGGTGACGTGGTGGTTGGTCACAGCTTCCCCACTGAATGATCTTCAAAGGGTTGTTTTGATCAGGGAGAGGCTTTTTGACTGGGGGACGGGAGAATTGAGTAAGTGAAACATTGGCTGACGTAAAATCCCACGAAGAATAGTCTACAATGTAAGTAAAGAGGGAAAACGGCAGCAGAGAAGCAGTGGCAAGGTGCCTGAGTGCTGGGCGAGCCTCCTGAAAGCCCACCTGTGGATCGCCTGGTCCTAGTGGATCACCTCCAGGGCAGCCTTTCTGTATCCCTGTCTTGGAGTGACGGTGGGTCCCTCTCTTGTCTTAAATGTGTGTTTCTGGCAGCTGCTGCTAGCTTCTTGCCATTGGATGAGGCCACCCAGGTTCTGCAGGTCCTTTGAGGCCACACACCCCCTCTTCTCTCCCAGTCTTCACAAAGCTGAAGCAAGCAAACGACTGTGGATATGTAGGCCTTTTTCGGTAAACGTCTATTGGGAATGACAATATGTGGTTCTTGGGATCTGCCTTTCCTGTTTGAAACTGTCAAGTTAGAATTTTTCTCTTAGAGCCCTATAGCAATATAGTACTTGTCTGTATTACTGGCCAAGTAGTATACTTACTTTGGGTAATTGAGTAGTGAATTTTAGAAGCATATTTTAAATGATTTCAAGAAGAATTTGTGAAAGAAAACTATAATTCTTACTTTTTTTCAAATCTTCTGTTGGGCATGGTAGCACTTGCCTTAATCCCAATGACTCAGGAGGCTGAGGCAGGAAGATCTCAAGTTCAAAGCCAGCCTCAGCCACTTAGCAAGATCCTGTCTCAAAAATTAGAAAGACTGGGGGTGTAGCTCACCTCCGAAGTACCGCGAAAAAGAAAATACTAAATGAGGAGAAGAAATGCTTAGTTTGGACCAGCGTCTCCGCAGATGAAGAAGCTTAGAGTGAAGTCTGAGTCCTCTGTGCTGAGAGCTCTTCAACTGTGATCACTTGCCTGGAACATGAGCGAGTTGCTCCATCAGTTTGGAAGAGAACGTGAAGGCAGCATGGGGAAGGCAAATGTACTGACAGAATCAGCTGGGGTCTGTTTTCCACGTGTATGTAACGGAAATATTTTGTAGCTGATGGTCTGGTTTGGGGCAGTGTTTGGTTAAGCACTACTGTGTTACCCAGCTGTTTCTCATCTTTTTTTTTTTTTTTTTAAACCTTACAGCTTCTAACCGAAAATCTTCAGTTGGTGTAAAAAAGAACAGCAAGAGCAGAACGTTAACCAGGCAGTCCATGTCCAGAATTCCCGCTTCCTCCAACTCTACCTCATCTAAGCTAACTCACACGAACAATTCCAGGGTACCAAAGAAACTGAAAAAGCCTGCAAAGCCTTTACTCTCAAAGATAAAGCTAAGGAATCACTGCAAGCGACTAGAGCAGAAGAATAGTTCAAGAAAGCTCGAGATGGGAAACTTAGTACTTAAAGAGCCTAAAGTGGTCCTATATAAGAATTTGCCCATTAGAAAAGACCAGGAGTCAGAGGGATCAGTCCAAGCTGCAGTTGCCAGCGGGTGCTTGACTAGACATGCGGCCAGAGAACACAGGCGGAATCCTGGGAGAGGTGCTCACTCGCAGGGGGACAGCTCGCCCTGCACCTACACAACCAGGCGCTCGGCGAGGACCAGGGCAAACCCGCCAGAAGCCTCGGACATCAAGCTAGAACCAAATACGCTGGATGGCTGTAATGGCACGGCAGAACCTTGCCCAGACAGTGATGAGCAGCCAGCCCCCGACGTGCAGGAAGAACTGGCTAGCGAGACTGCACAGAAGGGGGAAGCACCGGGTCACAAGAGTGACCCGAGCATGTCTAGAAAGAAATCGCGACAAGGAAAACTTGTAAAGCAGTTGACAAACATAGCAGAGTCCACCCCGGTGCATGACTGCCCTGGACAGGAGAGCACCGTGCCAGATTTGATGGCACCCCACTCTGACCAGGGTGAGCCCAGCGGTGTGGCAGGGGTGCCCATGAGCTACACAGACTGCACTCCCTCGCCTGTCGGGTGCTCAATCGTCACGTCAGACAGCTTCAGGGCGAAGGATGGCTTTAGAACTGCTAAAAGCAAAAAGAAGCGGCGAATTACAAGGTATGACGCCCAGTTAATCCTGGAAAATAACTCTGGGATTCCCAAATTGACTCTCCGTAGGCGCCATGATAGCAGCAGCAAGACAAACGACCAAGAGAATGACGGGATGAATTCTTCCAAAATAAGCATCAAGTTAAGTAAAGACCATGAAAATGATAATAATCTCTATGTAGCAAAGCTTAATAATGGATTTAACTCAGGATCAGGCAGTAGTTCTACAAAATTAAAAATCCAGCTAAAACGGGATGAGGAAAGTAGAGGGCCCTATGCAGAGGGGCTTCATGAAAATGGGGTGTGCTGTAGTGATCCTCTCTCTCTCCTGGAGTCCCAGATGGAGGTGGATGACTACAGTCAGTATGAGGAGGAAAGTACAGATGACTCCTCCTCTTCAGAGGGAGACGAAGAGGAGGATGACTATGACGATGACTTTGAAGATGATTTTATTCCTCTTCCTCCGGCTAAGCGACTGAGGCTAATAGTCGGGAAAGACTCTATAGATATTGACATTTCTTCAAGGAGAAGAGAAGATCAGTCTTTAAGGCTTAACGCATAAGCTCTTGGTCTTAATTTGACCTGGGATAACTACTTTAAAGAAATAAAAATTCCAGTCAATTATTCCTCAACTGAACCATTTGAGTGGCAGCACTTCTATCGTCTCTTCATGTATCAGCATAATATTGTAGAAAGTGTACAGCGTACTGACTCTTCCTAAGTCTGATTTGTGCAAATTTTTATCGTACTTTTTAAATAGCCTTCTTATGTGCAATTCTCAGTTAGAGGTGAAGCCCTATTGTAAAATAAAGGCTCCAGCAAAATTGTACAGTGATAGCAACTTTCCACACAGGACGTTGAGACAATAATGTGGCTACACAACTTCTTCTCTTTTTTTTTTTTAACTTTTAAGAGCATCAGCTGGCTCTTTAATATATGACTAAACAATAATTTAAAACAAATCATAGTAGCAGCATATTAAGGTTTTCAAGTATATGCTAATATCACCAGCAATGATCTTTGGCTTTTTGATTTATATTTGCTAGATGTTTCCCCCTTGGAGTTTGTCAGTTTCACACTGTTTGCTGACCCAGGTGTACTGTGTGTGGCCTCTGTTAACATAGCCAACCATCAGTCCGGAGTCAAATTGGTTTCTTTACAAAACAAAAAAATACCATCACACGCGAGACAGCTCACTGTTCAGTACACTGTATGTACCAGGTTAGCAGCGTGCAGGATGCGTTTCAAAACAGCGTATTTATTGCTTGTCATGTAAATTAAAGACCTTGTATTTAACACTTTTCAATCCTTTTAGATAAAATTGTTCTTTGCAAGAATGATTGGTGCTTATTTTTTCAAAACTCTGCTGTGAACATGCGATGGCAACAAGCAACGTTATCTAATGAACTACAGCTATCCTAATTTGGTTCTTCAAGTTTTCTGTTGCACTTGTAAAATGCTACAAGGAATATTAAAAAAATCTATTCACTTTAACTTATAATAGTTTATGAAATAAAAACATGAGTCACAGCTTTTGTTCTGTGGTAACCTATAAAAATGTTTGTCTTTGGAATTCAATGTAAAGAGCTGAAAACAATGTATATGTTGTAAATATTTGTGTGTTGTGAGAAATTTTTGTCATAAGAAATTAAAAGAACTTACCAGGAAGGTTTTTAAGTTTAGAAATATTCATGCCAATAAAATAGGAAATTATAAATATATAGTTTTAAGCACTGCCTCAGTGGGAGTTCTCAGCTTATATTAGTTTATTATTAAAATATCAAAGTTTTTTGATTATATTATCAGTTAATCAAAAAGGAGTCAGATTTGTTTTTTCAAGCACTTTGAGAAGAGAAATTAATTTTAAGTAACTTAATGAGCAAATTTTTGATTATTTTATGTTCAATACCAGGCTCTTTCATTTTTCTGGATTATTTTAGAAATCAAAGAATTTGGGAATATAAGTCTATAGCAGGTGTTTAACACCAGCAAATCTCTGTTTCCTGGGAAATGTGTACATGTGCTTTCAGATGAGTCAAGTCAACTTAGGGGGTTCTTGTAGTGTCTAGAAAAGTAGCCCATGTCTTAAACTACTCAGAGGGATCTGCAGGTAACAAGAAAGTCCAGTGAAGGAAACCTCAATGCTTCACTGTTATTTCTACTTGATACCCACCACTTTTCACGTTTGGGGGACATTGTTTAAATTAAGCTCCTCAAAACTAGTGCCAGTAGGTTGCAGATAGAAAGTGGGGGAGCCTGAGAGGCCTTTGCTCCTGGAGCCCCGGGTCGTCCTGTGCAGTCCCAACTTGGCTTCTCACGGTCAGGCTGATCCTCAGGGATTGATTTGGAAGCAGGCGAGGACCTCCCCCCAACACATGCCCCTTCTCGCTGCAGCTCTTGAGGCAGGGCAACCCTACATGGCCTTGGGCTCCTGTCCCCAGACACTGTCCAGTCCTCATGGGGTCCCTGCACAGAAGCATGAGGCCTGGACCACGCACGGGAGGATGAAGAGGGGCCCTTTGGAGCAGGCAGGCAGTGGGTCACCTCTCATTCCCACCTTTGCTTGGGGTATTTTGAAGAGGTTCAGAGACTAAACCTCAAAGGTTTTTTTTTGAATACCAACAATAGCCATTTCAGGAATTTCAGTCTTAAGGAAAAAGTAACAAAACACATTTCCCATTTTTCTCCACGTTGAAGCTTAATTTTAGTAACTTATTTATGATGTTTTAATTTTATTATGGCCTCATCTTTTGAGGCTGACCTCCCCGTGGGTCTCAGAGCAGTGACATTTGGTGACAGTCGCTGCTTCTCAGGAGTCGGTATGCACAAGCACTCAGCGGCCGCTGGGATGCCTTCTAGGGCGCCCTAATTTCCGTTTTTAAAGGTAGGGGCCTCGGGACTGTTCTCAGCCTGCTGTAGAACGTCACTGTGTGGGAGACAAAAGCCACACACTCTTGACCAGTTTGGAAGAGGTTACATTCAATAAAACTTTTAGCTTGAGCTTATGCAATGATTGGTAAAGTTTTTGGCATTGTAAGAATTAGGAAATGATCATAGAAATATATGTAAAGTATTCAATTTTCAATCATTTTTCAAATTACTGTTTTAAATTGTTTTGCTGAGTTGTAATACTTTTGAGATACAATGTATTCCTTGTACTGAAAGAATGAAAAAGGACTTTTTCAGCATTTGAGGTAAGTTCTTTAACGTTTCATTGAAAACATTTTTTACAAATATTTTGTACATGCACTTGCAGTATTGAGGTTAATCATTTTAATAAATTCGGAAATTAAAACAATGTGGCCGGTGTTCACTGTATCTGAGAAGAAGAGGTCAAAGCGGTGACTTCCCTGAAGTGCTCCCGTGAAGCAGAATGGACCAGGGTGCACCCTTGCCTGTGCTGATCACTGGAGGGAGAAGAGGGCAAGCAGCCATTCCCTGCAGGGAGGCTGCTTCCAGCCTGTGAAGCCTCCTAGCCTGGGGACTCAGAAGTCTTTGCCCTCCAAATGGAGCAAAATGACACTTGAGGGCTTTTATAACCCAGTTACTACTAGCTTCTGATTGCTTGCTTTTTCTCTCTCTACTGGAATAGCAGATCCCGAACTGGCCTGAGTCCCTTTTTCTCCCATTTACTGTTGCAAAACCTACTTGAAATAGGACTGGCACAGGAATCAGGAACCCTGGATTTGGCCAGCTCGGCAACACCTTCGTGGTTGGGAACATGCTGCCTGGCTGCAGCCCTCTTTCCTGGCGCCTAGCTCCATTCTGGGTCAGAAGTCAGTGTACTTGGTCCTATCCCCAGTTAAGGTTTAGAAGGAACATCCTTCACCCCATTGGCAGGCAAGTGAGCACTCGTTAGCTAATCGATTCACCCAAGCCTGAGTTCCCAATCTGGAAAAAGGCTGTGTCCTGCCTGTTAACCACTCACACTCTTGACGGCTCAGTCTGCTTTCCAGTAGCTAGTGGCAGCCAGCTCACAGCATTCTGCCCAAAACCCTTGTGTGACCTGTTTCTCAAATACAAGATTTCTGTCACTAACATACATTGTGTCAAGTGCTCTGCTACCAAAAAACAAGGTGCCAAGCAGCTGCCACCCTCGGGTACTTCTGTAGCCCCAGGATGATGGTGCAGAGGCTTCAAGGGAAGGGCATGAGGCTGCTTCCTGCGCCCTCCATGTCCTGAAGCACTTGAGTGCTGCTGGTGCTGGCTGGTGGACGAGCCAGAGCACAGGCGAATCTGCCTTTTTCAGAAAGAGAGCAGGGTTGGCAGGTAGAGGTAGATGAACCAGGAAGGGATGTGCTGCCAACGCTGCCCTCCTCCCGTGACCCTGCCACTCACATCCTCCCAGGACAGTAAGCTCACAAGTGTTCACGGAGCAGCTGGGAAGCGGCCAATCTGGACAGAAGACCCTGCAGGCCTGTAGAGATGACTCTGGAACAGTGCTGTTACCAGATTCTGTGCCAGATTCTGCTAAGCTGCCCTAGACTGCAACCATCCTTTGCGGGGAGTCCCAACCCTGTTGAGTGCTCCCACGGTTCTCACAGAGAAGCAGTGCTTCACATTCTGCTTAGGGCTGGCTCGGGTCTGAGACCCTGAGCTGGCCTTTTTGGTTTGTTTCTTTTGCAGTGCTGGGCATGGAACTCAAGGCTCCTCTACCACTTTTTTTTTTTTTTTTTTTTTTTTTGGTACCTGGGATTGAACTCAGGGGCACTAGACCAACTGAGCCACATCCCCAGACCTGTTTTTATTTTATTGAGAGTCGGGGTCTCACTGAATTGCTTAGTGCCTCACTTTTGCTGAGGCTGGCTTTGAACTCCCGATCCTCTTGCCTCATCTTCCTGAGTTGCAGGTATTACTGGAGTGCACCACCACCTCCAGCAGGTGACAGGAGTTAGTCACATTTCTCCAGTATGTGTGAGCACATGTTACGTATTTGGGATTGGGGAGGCAGGGTTTGAATTAAAGCCACAGGAGTGGATGAGGAGAGCTGGTGCTGAGGGTAGCAGAGAATGTTGTGCCAAGGCCACTGGACCTTGGGGACCTTGAAGGCACAGCTGGGGCAGTACTTGAGAAGCCAGACTGGCTGGGGACAATGGAGGAAAGGGGATGACAGCAGAGAGAGAAGGTGGTTAACTATTTAAAGGAAAAGCAAGTTTAACCCCAGAGAGCTTCCATGGGGTGGTGAGCTCCTGAAAAGGGCAGTGAGGAGTCACTCGGAGTCGGGGGTGGTGGGGGTCATCCATCTTCCAAGAGGAAAGACGCATTCGGGTGTGACGGAGGAGCCAGCCCAGCGCCAGCATTCGCAAGAGTTCTATCCACTCTGGAGCAGGAGGCCGGGCCATCCGAGCATCAGATGTTTGGGTTTGGGCCACACAAGGGAGATGTGAAATCAAGAATGGGAAAGCAAGCTGACCACAGAAACTTAGTACAATTCATTGAAGACATATTTACTCATCACACTGCAGTACTAGCCAGTGTCCGAGTTGCCCCAGTGGGCGGGAGGCGCACCTGTTGGCAGCAGCACTCCTCTGCACAGATGTGGTCCTCTCAGGCCAGGTGGGGTCGCAGCAGATGGCGGGTGGAGGTGTAGTTCAAGCTGGCTAGGGAGGGGTGGCAGGAGCTGTGCACGCCCTCAGGGTAGGGGAGCCTGCAACCAGGGTGGGCCGCAAGCCGAGGCGGACGCAGGAGGCCTGGGGGCGCTCTGCGGCCAGGGAACAGCCTAGCGGTCATTGGACCAGCCAATGGAGAGGGCGGAGTCAGCAGAGGGCAGGTTCTGGAGTTTGGGAGAGGCTGCGTTTTCTGGGGACTTCAGGTCCTGGACGGGGCCTGGAGAAGATCGCCTGGCAATAGGTGGCCGCAGTTCTGGGAGAGTGGGACTTTGGTCTGAAGCCGATGGCCCTCCGGAGGCGGACACTTGGGTGGTGCGGGGCGGAGGGCACGCGCCCCCGGGGCCACGCCGCGACGGGCAGCCGGACGACTGGGTCTGTGGGCGACCAACGCGGGGAGGTGGGGCGCCCGGATATTGTGTGGGTGAGAACCGGGGCGAACCGCAGCGCCCCACGATCCCGAAGCAGATCCGGGCTCTGCCGGAGCCGCACCTGGAGAGCCCGGGGAGGGCCGCTCTGGGCGTCGCCGTAAGTTCCCTTGAGTGGCGAAAGGAGTCGCCGCCTTTTACCCGCTTTCCCTGCACCAGTGCCGCCGCGGAGTGTGTGCAAAGGTCGTGCGCAGATAAGCGGGCGCCGCGCGCACTCACGAGCCCTGCGGTGGGAGCGGCGCCGGCGGCTCAGCCGGTCGGTGGGAGGCGGCGGCCCGTGCGGCCCTGGGACAGGACGGACAGTCCTTATCTGCAAGAAGCCGGTAGAAGGCCAGCAGCCCCGGGCAGCAGGCAAATCCAAGGTGTCCTCCAGCGGCCGAGCTGCTGGACTCGCGATTGTAACAGCGACCTGACGCAAATGTGCTCCAGAGGGCCGAGGAATAGCCGCGTTGGGTTCGAATGTGCCCGGTGTTGGCGTCTGAGAGAGAATGTCACCCCAAGGGACCTCGCGCTGTTCTCTCTCACCCCACGCCCATCTTAGAAACGTAGGTTGCATGAATGGGAAGCAGCATTTTATGTACAAAAGTTGGTGACTCCGAAGCCACCTAGTGTTCCCCCTCTCTGACTTGTGGGCTGCAGAATCCGACCCTGACGGGAAGCGACCGGACACCAGAAACTGGGAATCTTGCAACTGACTTTGGTAGCAGCCAACGAGGCTGGGGAGGGCCCCTCTCCAGAGCAACTGTCCTGTAAAGGGACCCTGTCTTGTCCTCCTCTTGCTGGCTAAGCCATATTTTCCTTCTAGGGCAGAAGGGTGAGCAGACGGCTGGCGCTTGCCAGCCCCCAAATGGGCCAGAGCTGGCCCAGGAACCGTCAGCCTGGGGTCAAGGCCTGGGTGCCCGGGCCAGGTGGAGGACCTGGGTGAAGCAGCGCTGGTGCATGCTGCTGGGTTCACAAGCCAAGCAAAGCACTGCCCTCTCTGAGTCCGTTTTTTCCACTTGTAAACAGAGTAGTAATCCCAAACTGGCCCCTGTGATTGCTGAGGATCAAATGAGGGAGTGCCTGCTATCCCGTGCCACAGGCTGGCACCTAAGTCGGCCTATGCTGAAGCCCTAGGTCCCACCTTGGACTATGCCAGGCACCACGGACACCTCACAAGCCCCCTACCCTCTCCAGTGGCACCTGCTCAAAATCGCAACTCCCCCCTCCCCCGCCCAGCTTCAGAATACCCGCTGCTGGAGCAGGCCCCCGTCACATTCCAGTTCCCTCCTCCAGCCAGGACTCTGTGTCAGCCAAGCTCCTGAGGAATGCTGCTCTGTCCCTGCTCTTCCATTCCACAGGGCTCTCCCTGGATTCACCTGCTCCCCTGACAGCCTTCCCTATTCAGGCACCAAACAGGTTCTGAACACTCAAAAGGCATAGCAGCTACAGGGGTGATCCGAACCCAGCCCCTCCTTCAAGAGCCAGAGCCTGAGCTCCTTGAGAGAAACAGGGAGACAACCAGCAAGCAATGTGGACGCCCCAGACAGAGGCGTGTGGCAGGTGCCGTGGAGTCCAGAGGGTGCCTGGTTTCTGCTGGAGCTGAGACTCAGAAGGGTCCTGAGGGACATGCAGACCAAAAACATACAGGTTCCATCTCACTCCAGTGACAATGGCAGTCACCAAGAACACCAACAAAATCCCAGCAGCTCGGGAGGCTGAGGCAGGAAGATCGTAAGTTCAAAGCCAGCCTCAGCAAATTAGTGAGGCCCTAAGCAACTCAGTGAGACTCTTATCTCTAAATAAAATACAAGAAAGGGCTGGGGGTGTGGATCAGTGGTTAAGTGCCCCTGAGTTCAATTCCCTTTACCAAAAAGAGAGAATACCAACAACAAGTGCTGGCGAGGATGCCAGGAAAAGGTATCCTTGTACATCATTAGTGAGACTACAGATTAGTGCAACCACTTTGGAAATCAGTATGGAGATTCCTTAAAAGGCTAGCAATGGCAGCCAGGTGCAGTAGTGCAGGCCTGTACTCCAGAGGCTTAGAGGCTGAGGCAGGAAGATGGCAAGTTCAAAGGCAGCCTCAGCAACTTAGGGAGATGCTATCTGAAAATAAAAAATAAAATGGGCCAGGTACAGTGGTGCACACCTGTAATCCCAGCAGCTTGGGAGGCTGAGATGGGAGGAACACGAGTTCAAAGCCAGCCTCAGCAAAGTGAGGCCCTAAGCAACTCAGTGAGACCCTGTCTCTAAATAAAATACAAAATAGGGCTGGGGATGTG